ATAGAGCAGACACTAAAACATGAGCAGGAACCATTATTATTACTACTTTTAAATAACAGCACTTACAAAGCATGTGGCTTATGCATACTACAATTAAAGGGGTGACAAAGTTGAAGCTATTTTGGTGCTTTTATCCCTCAATACCCTGGAGGGTACAAGTTAGGTTTGCTCTTCTCCCCTTCCCAGTCTCCTTTCCTACACCCAGTTCCTATTAGGAACAAAGAAGTGGACTTGATTTGCATAACTGATTAGCAATACCCACTGGAAGTAAAATTCTGAATCTGAATAACCTTTAGTGTCACGTCATTGCCTCCCACATCTTCAAACTTCACGCTGGAGGTCTGGAAGTCTAGCCCCCTGGCTTGAGCTGGTAAACGAAAAGGGAGGAAGTGAAAAGATTAGTGATTCAGCAGTAACTCAGAATTACATTTAATAATTGTTAAGTAAACAAAGATCCATTAGCTATTGACACATTTCCTAATAAATGTCTCTGCACCTGGAAGGTTCCCCCAAGCAAATCAGCCTGGAGGAGTGATGACTCCCCCAAAGCAAACATGGCCACCACCACCCACAAGACCTGCGTCGCACCTTTCTTTTGCAGGACGGCTTCTATTTCTCCATCTACTTCCTGAAGATCTTCTTTCTTCCTTTTGCTTCCTCTGCTCTTTAACCTGCCTTTCCTTTTCTTGTTACTCTCCAGAAGAGACGACTCTTTGGAATCCTGGATGATTAAAGCAAAGAGATTTGGAAAAGATCCATTACTAATTCAAAAGGAGCAAGATTTTGGCAAAACAAAAGGCTTGGTTCTTGGAAACCACTTAGAGATGCCCTGTCCAAGAGAAATACAATGCAGGCCACATAGGTAAATTTATATATTCTAGAGCCCCATTTAAAAAAGCAAAGAAGTTGAAATTAATTTAATAATCTATCTTATTTAATCAAATATATTCAAGGCATTACCATTTCCATATAGCGTCAGTGTGAAAAATTAACAAGGTGTTTTGTATATATTGTTTTTGCAGTAAATTTGCAAAGACCAATATGGACTTTATGCTTATAGTAAGCACATCTCAAGTCAGGCATTAACTTTTCGTCAATTGGCTGCCTCCTGCCTCCTGGGGATCGCGCCTGCAACCTGGGCATGTGCCCTTGACCAGAATCGAACATGGGACCTTTCAGTCCACAGACCGATGCTCTATCCACTGAGCCAAACCAGCTAGGGCGTTTAGGTCCACTCTTGTTCCCCTAGTCTATACTTCACACAGAGATGTCTTCCTTATGGGATAAGTTAGGTCACTGTCAATCTTATATTCAAAATCCTCCTGTGGCTACGTTAGTCTGAAGTCAAAGCTCTTGCAGCTGCCACCAAAGACCTGTGTCTTTGGCCCCCCTGCTGCCCTAGTCACATCTACTGCACTCCACCCACACCTGCTTTGGCACAGTGGCTGCTCGCTGTTTCTAGAACACACCAAGCACCCTCTCTCTGGAGGCATTTGGAGAGTGTCCAGACAGAGAGAACAAGAGTGGATGCAAATGCCCTAGCTGGTTTGGCTCAGTGGATAGAGCATTGGCCTGTGGACTGAAAGGTCCCATGTTCGATTCTGGTCCAGGGCACATGCCTGGGTTGCAGGCACGATCCCCAGTAGGGGGCATGCAGGAGGCAGCCAATCCATGATTCTCTCTCATCCTTGATATTTCTAGCTCTCTCTCCCTTCCTTTCTGATATATAAAAAAAAAGGAGTGGACGCAAACTCCAGTTAGAAGGTCATTTCAATAGTTACGACAAGAAAGAGTAGATAGAGGTGTGGTCTAGGATGGAAATGATGGCAGCAGTAGGAAGTGATGAAATGCCACACTTATTTCAAAGTTCCTACGTCTTTTATTTAACACAAGAATCTGCTTAATATCATCCTCAATGAAAAGACGGCAATGTGCTCTAGCTACGTGGGGCTAAAATTTCAGTATAAAAATACCTCTATCTCAGATAATGGCTTCTTATTACTTGTCTCCTCTGATAGGTCCAAGAAAAAACTGTCTTTCTTTCCACCTGGAGTTTTGTCAATGAACCATCCTCCTTCCGAGCCTCTGGCAGGGGTCTTCAACGGAATGGAGCCAGCTGTGGGAGCTGTCGGTGGTGCTGAACCGCTGGTTTCTCTTTGCTCCCTCTCGGGAGTAGGGGCAACAGAATCAGGGTTTCCTTTCCGATATAAGGAGAGCAGGGAAGAGTTCATGTGATTTGCCAACTGGGAGAAACATGATTTTAGCATAAGTTAACAGGTACTCATGAAGGTTTGATGGCCTATATTAACATGTTTTCTACTTTGTGCTTCCAACAACTTCTCTCATAACATTTATAGTCAGAAAAACAGGTGTTTGGAATGAGATGATTCCAACACAAATATTTACTATCCAAAAAGGTGTGTCCCCTTGCCACTCCAAGTTAATGTACCAATTCATAATTGGCAGTTAAATAAAACTAAATAAGAATTTTAAAAAATGTAAAAAGCAAGTATGAAAATGAGCTGGTAGGCAGTCAATGAGAGTCACCACTATCCCATCAATTAAAAACTAGATCACATATATCTGAGTATCATCATGGTTATTAATAAATTTAAATACTGAATTAACAATGGGGAAAAATAAAGTTACAAATAATTTTACATATTATTCCCGTGCTCTTTAATCCAAGTCTATTTATTGGTAATGCAAACTCTGGCAGAGTATCCTTTTCCTCATTTTTACTATGAATTCCCCTTTCTGCGCATGTCTGCCCTTTATATGGCCTTTCTCTTCCCTTCTTTTTCCGTTTTTATAATAGGCTATAAAAACAAACATAGGCACGATGGTTAACCCCAGAGTTCACTAACCCTGTACACAGGAAGCACTCAATTGTTCACAGATGAAGATGTTCAAAGTCTCGCATTGTATTCCTCACTGCTTTTTCTCTAAGAAGGTTGATTATGATTTTTAAAAGACTCAAAGTCCATTAAATGTTTGGCTTACCTGTGGATCTGGGTAATCTTCCATATTTGAATCATCATCCGAATAGCTTTCAGTATACCTGAGTGAAAAGAGAGAAAAAAATTGTAAAGGCTTTTCTCTTACATCCTAAAAAAATTACTAACTAAAGCAAGAAAATACACTGAGGGGGAATATTACTGTGGTGGTTCAGAGCACATGCTTTGGGATCAGAGAAATCTGCACTCAAAATCCAGCTTTACCAGTTACTTTCTAGCTTCTATTTAATCTCTCTGAGCCTCAGCTTCCTTATCTACAAAATGGACATCTCACTGGATTATTAGATTAAAAGAAACCTTGCAAATCAAAAGAAGAAAAAAAAGAGAAGGGGGGAAAAAAAAAGAAAGCTTGCAAAGTCCTTAATACCTAGTAAATGCTTAATAAACTGTGGCTTCCATTAGCTGAGCAATAAATAAAAGTGCAATGTGAATTCCCACTAGATCCCAGGGTCTCATTTAGGAATGTCCGAAGCCAGGAGAGGGAATACTCCGTAAGCCACGTAACCAGATGGAACGTTTACACGTCTGCTTGGAGGAATGAAGATAAACAGTTGTTCAACATCATATGATAAAAAAAACAATATAAATCCTAATAATTACAAACTGAGAATTTAGTTTCAGTTCTTTATAACCAAGAGTTGGTATCTAACAACTGCAGGACTCTATTTATTATTGTTTCTATAGAAATAATCCCATAAGAAAAGGGCTTTTCCAACTAAAAAGGTTTACATGAATGCTATGACCCATCTTTACAATTAAGACATGAATTTCTTTGCTATTCATTAAATTCAACTAAGGTAATTTGGTGCGTTTCTTTTCAATATAAAGAAGGTAGATTACTCAACTATTTGGGAAAATATCATTTTGCCCTAGAACTCATGCCATACAAGTATAATTAATTACAAGTGGATTAAGTAGTTAAATGTAATACCATAAAGGAACAAGAAAAAAGTACAGGTAATTATTCTATATGTTCCTGTGACAGAGGTCTATGCAAGCATTCAGAGCATAAACCACACAGGAAAAGGTTGGTAACTTTGACTAGGTAAAGATGCAGAACTTCTCTAATCAAAACATTATAAACAAAAACAAAAGGCAAATGGGAAAATGAGACAAGCATTTGCAATACATGTGAAAAGAGGTGCTATTTTATACAAAGAACTCTGACAACTAATAAGGAAAATTCAAATACTTCTCAAATGAAAGACAAAATCCATAGGTAAGAAATTCACAAAGAAATATGAAACAGTAAAAAAAATCACAAGTTATTAAAAGATTACAAATAAAAACAATATGATCAATGTTTGCCTATAATACTAGCAAAGATCAAGTAATTGTATAACTAGGATTACAAGGGGGCAGAGAAATGCATTCTTCACACAAAGCTGTTGGAGTATAAACTAAGGCAACCTTTCTTGAAGGGCAGCTTCAAATGCACTAAAAAATACATGCTTGAAAATATAAATCTCTGTCTCCAGAAATACCACTTCAGGATTTTAACATATAAAAACAAACAAATGACCCTAGCCAGTTTGGCTCAGTGGATAGAGCATTGGCCTGCAGACTGAAGGGTCCCAGGTTCGATTCTGGTCAAGGGCACATGACCAGGTTGCGGGCTGGATCCCTAGTAGGGGGCGTGCAGGAGGCAGCCAATCGATGATTCTCTCTCATCATTAATGTTTCTATCTCTCTCTCTCTCTTCTTTCCTCCCTGAAATCAATAAAAATAAATAAAAAATAGAAAACAGTCTAGGAAGGCCTGACAAAGACAATAACACAGCATTCTGAAAGCTGATTCTCGAATGCTGAGTGGGAGTTTGTGAAAGAGAAAGGAACATTCCAGCTACAGAAAACTGCAGTTAAGGACTGGAGAGTTTAGGTAAGTGTTACACAGTGCCTCCTGAGCAATGAGGAGCCACCGAAAGTTTTACCCGTTGAAACATAATGTGATCAGTTTCATGTGCCAGATAGAAAAAACCCTCCACTCCGAAATCCTTACTCATTATCCTCTTCACCTTGTCTTGCTCTTTTTGCCAGATGTTCATCTTCTAATTCTGTTAGATTCTTAAGTTCCTTCTCACTATTAATTATGCTAAATACTGAAACAAAAAGAAAAAAGCCATGAGCTAAAACCATTCTGTAATGTTATTAATGATTCATTTCTAACGCTAATAGACTCACCTTTTTCTACCTGAATCCTAAAAGCATTTCTTTTTCTTCGACCGTAGTCTATGCTGAAAAAGATAACAGAAGTTTAGTACAGTGGTCTCCCCCACGTAAGTTTGCATGAATATATAATTATGCCACTGAATTTACAGACCATAAATCTATTTTCAAACAACTTTGGAGTTTACATTTTTACAACTATAATTTCTCTTGATATTCTACAGAACAGGCCAAAAGAGCTAAGCAACTGGGAACATGCATTCTCCTTTAAAAAAAAAGGGAAGAGTGACTCCCAAGGAGGCTGAGGTTGGCAGAGCTGCCACTGCCACCAGGGACCCAGTGAGCACAGACGGGCCCACAGGACAGGGCCCTGAGCCACAAGATTAAAGTCTAGTGGAATTCACCCAGCTACGTTTCAGACTTGCTTGACACCATAACCCCTTTCTTCTTTCCAATTTCTCCGTTTTGGAATGAAAATGCATATCCTATACCTGTCCATTACTGTATTTTGTCTTTTTAAAAATGTTTTATTGATTTTTGAAAGAGGAAGGGAGGAGAGAGAATTATCAATGAGAGAGAACCATCAATTGGCTGCCTCCTGCACGCCCCGTACAGGGGATTGAGCCTGCAACTCAGGAATGTACCCTGCCGGGGAATCGAACCAGAGACCTCTAGGTGCATGGGGAGATGCTCAACCAACTGAGCCATGCCAGCGAAGGTCACCATTGTATTCTGGTAGCAGATAACCTGTCTGGTTTTCCAGGTTCACAGCTGGAGAGGAATTCGGCCTCAGAATGAATCATAGCTCCAGTCACACCATATCCGAGTTAGATGAGATTTAGATGTGATTTGGGAGTTAAGATTGAGACTGAAATGGATTACGACTTCTGGGGTTGCTGCTCTTTTACTTGTAAGCGAGAAGGATTAGGCTTGGGAAGGCAAGAGGCAGAGTGTTATGAACTGAACTGTGTCCCTCCAAAATTCATATGATGAAGTTCCAACCCTGAGTACCTCAGAATGTGACTGTATTTGGAAACAGGACCTTTAAAGGCGTAAGTCACGTAATATGGATGGGACTTAATCCCATAGGACTGGTGTCTATAAGAGGAGGAGATTAGGATACAGATACTCATACACAGAGGAAAGACCATGTCACGACATAGAACTCAGCCACCTGCAAACCAAAACTCCCCTGTGTAGCCGTCTGGGCTGAGTGACACATTTCTGAGAGTCAGGAAGCTGAGGGAGATCATGCCTGATGGCTTAATTTTTTTAATGAAGCAGGAGAAGAAGTAATGTTCCTGATAAGACTATAAGGTACTGAAAGATAAGATGCAGCCATTACCCCTAGTAACAAAGATAGCTCTTTGCCTATAACAGGTGATTGATAAATGTTTGTATACTAGTAACTTACTTGAATTCTGAACTTAGGGACTGGAGAACTAATGTCAGCAGTTAGTAATATCAACTGGAAATTTAGGCAGGATGGAAAGTTTAAAAATGATAGGAAAGAAACAACAAGTAACAATGGAAAAAAATGGAAGGAAAGAAAAGCAAGAACCTGCAGACTCTATTTCTTTACCTGTACATTCTTTGTAAATCAGATGCCATGATTCCAGTGTCCACATATTTGCCACATCTGCTACTGGTGAGGTACTAAAACAGAAAATATAATAAATATAAACACTCAATATTTCAAACTCAGAGATTTTATTTATTTTTAAATATATTTTCTTGATTTTTTACAGAGTGGAAGGGAAGGGGATAGAGAGTTAGAAACATCGATGAGAGAGAAACATCGATCAGCTGCCTCCTGCACACCTCCTACTGGGGATGTGCCCGCAACCAAAGTACTTGCCCTTGACCGGAATCGAACCCGGGACCCTTCAGTCCACAGGTCAACACTCTATCCACTGAGCCAAACCAGTTAGGCTCAAACTCAGAGATTTTAATTGACAAATAAGAGACTGGGCTACTCAACATGTCATATTTCAATGTAAACTCTTCATTAATAAAGCGTACCAGAAACATAAATAAAAATCACTAAATGATTGTCACATCTGGAATCAGATAATTTAATTAAAATTATCAATCACTATGACACACAAAAATATTAACTAGAATATCTATAGGTAGTGAGGACTTATTATATCCTAGGTTCCCAAATACTCCAGAACAAAGCACTAAACTCCCAAGAGGTATTTTAAATTTGAAGGAACACAGTAATATCTGACATTTGCCCAACACTGTAGGAATTACAGCCTGAGGCAGTTCATGGCTTCAATATTACATCACCTTTTGCTGATATCAAATCTGCAAAACTGGGTTTTCAGCAGTTGCTATAATAAAAAGCAAATCCCATGTAAAAACCAATGTGCAAGAGGATGAGAATGGCAGAAACCACCTGAGTGTGAGGTATGAGAAGTTGTCCCTTAGGCACATAAATCCCACTTGCAAGTAAGTGTGGTTATTGAAGAACGAAATATAAATGTATTAATTTTTCTTTCCATTTTTACATATTATCATCTCAAAAGGCTACTGAGTTAGATGAACTAAATAGTTATTAACTTGCTAGAACCTAACTACTTAATAAACAGATCCATTAGATATTACTTTTGGTCTAGGAGCACCATGAAAATATTAATGAGAAACGAAGGGCCCTGTGAGCCTGTTCCAGGGGGCCTTTTACACATTATCTCTTTCAGCACTCACAATCCTATGAGGTAAGATGTTGAAGAAAGCCCTAACCGGTTTGGCTCAGTGCATAGAGCCTCCGCCTGCGGACTGAAGGGTCCCAGGTTCGATTCCGGTCAAGGGCATGTACCTTGGTTGCGGGCACATCCCCAGTAGGGAGTGTGCAGGAGGCAGCTGATGGATGTTTCTCTCTCATCGATGTTTCTAACTCTCTATCTCTCTCCCTCTGTACAAAAATCAAGAAAATATATAGATATTTTTTAAAAAAGTTTGCTTCCTGACTGTACCATTTATTCCAAGACATTTAGCACACACTGATTTTACTAATGATTATGGAAAACAAAACCCTTAGGTAAAGTGCGTATTGTAAAGTCCCATCCATACTACCTATTTCTACTGTGTCCCAACCTGACCCCAAGTTTCCTGAGATGGAAATGCTTTACGGCCCCCAAAGCATTTGGGGAGGGTACAGTGGGGAGGGTCCTAGCTTCACGACAGGAAGGTTTTAACTCCAAGGCCATCTCCGCTCTCCTTCCTGATCCGCGCTGAGGGGCTCCAGACCCGGGCAGGCCCCCGGGCTGCGTGCATCCTCCCACCCGGGCGGGTCCTAGACACGCCGCCCCCGGCGGGAGCGCAGGCCCGGCTCCGCGGAGCTGCCAACAGCCCCACGGGGGCGGGCGGCTAGTCCCGTCCGACGTGGGAGCCGCCCTGCAAGGTGCCGTGGGCAGCGGGCGCGGAGCACTGTGAGGCCCACCTGGATGACTCGCTGCTTCAGCTTATTATCCACGAAACCTGCAGGTCTGGGCTTCATCCCGTCTGTCTCTGCCGCCACTGCCCCGGCGCCGGCGTCACGTGATCCGGGGGGGGGGGTCCTTCCTCGGGGCTGTCCGCGGCAATCGCCGGACCAGCTGCGCCTGAAATGCGCCCCCACCCGGCCTGGCGCGCGCCGCTCCCTGCAGCACGTGTGTCCCGCCGGCGAGGGAAAAACTACCGAGAACAACGAGCAGGATTGGAAAGCCATCAGGGAGTTTCTCGGAGCCTTATTTTGCAGGCTCGTCCAACAGGCCCTGGATGACAAGGACCCCTTTGAACAAGCTCAACTTTATTGTTTGGAGCTGTGCGGACAAGCGCACGCGGCGGCTGCGGGGAGGGTCCAGGTGGGCTCTGTCACCGGCGCCTGTTGGTAAACTTGTTTTTGTTTATTTTACTGCGGGCGTTCCAGCCACGCCTCTATTAGGATGCAAAGTTAATCTTGGCCTAGAATCTTAACAAAACCGGAAGCTTTGTAGACACTTGGGACGATGATAATAAAAAAAAAGATAAAAACCCACCGCCACCCTGCTGCTTGCTTTTCGAACTTAATTACCCATGTCTGGAGGCCCATCAAAAGGCTAGATATCAAAAGACTGGTTCACCCAGATAGCGAAACCATCTTGTACATTTGGAAATCATTTGACCTTATGCCATTTTTGACCGATGATTTGTTGAGCACATCCAGTGCAAGAATTTTAAACCCTAGAGGCCCATGCACGATACTGGTGCAAGAGTAGGCCTTCCTTCCCCTGGCCGCCAGCAGGCACCCAACAGGCACCCGGACCCAGGCTTCCCTTGCAGTCCCAGCTTCATCTGGAAGGTCGTCCAGAAGGACGTGCAGTCTAATTAGCATATTACGCTTTTTTAATTATAGATATGTATTTGCCCTTGCAAATTATGTAACCCATACAGACCTGAAATACTCTGGAATGGCACCTACTTTAATATATATATGATATATTTATATGTGTGTGTATTTTTATTTATTTCAGAGATGAAGGGAGAGGGAGAGAGAGAGAGAAACATCAATGATGAGAGAGAATCATCCATGGGCAGCCTCCTGCATGCCCCACACTAGGAATCAAGCCAGCAACCCTGGCATGTGCCCTCGACCTGGAATCCAACCGTGACCTCCTGGTTCATGGGTCCACGCTCAACTACTGAGCCACACCGGTTGGGCTAGAATAGCACCTTAAGGTCAAGGAGTGTGTTTTCACCTCTTGACTGCCTCAAGTGCAGTAGGCAACAATTGAAAGTAAATTAATACTAGATACCAATACTGATATACTTGAATATATTTTTCCATTGGAATTATTTCGACTATTTATTACCCTGAAGACAATTTTACATTAATTCCAGTGGTCAGAATTTACAATACCATACATCTAAACTAAAAACATACTGAGTAGCAACCTGAATGCACGTACATTTTAAGAACTTACTGCAGTAATTAAATGGCCTCCATCCTTTTTTTTTTTTAATGATTCGAGAGAGAAACATGGATGTGAGAGAGAAACATCAGTCAGTTGCCTCCCACACACCCCAGGGAATTGAATGGAACCTACCACCTTTCTGGGAGGAGGCTCCAACCAACTGAGCCACATCAGCCAGGGCAAATGTCCTCCATTCTTTAATGGTGCAGCCCCACCTAGTGGTAGTGGCACATTTCACCTCCTGTTCCTCATACCTTGGCTCCTCCAGTCCCAACCCCCGCAAATGTTGTACCTCACTAGCAAACAGCCTCTTATCTAATTGTGCTTTATACTTAGGTTGACCTATGTACTTATTTACTCAGGACAGCCCTGGTACTTGCCTCTTGATCCAGCACGATTATTCATAGTATCCCCTTTATGGAAATAAATGAAAATCACCTAAATGAGACTAGGCAAAGACTCTTCAGAGCGTGCAATAATAGCAAGGGAGTCAGCCACCATTACTTGCATTTTGGCAGAGACTCAAAGACAGGCAGAGGAATGGGAACACTTTATAACTGCAAAAGGGAAGGCTTTGGATATGCCCTGATTGGAGACTGTTGTCATAGGGAAGCTGTACGTGGCTAAGTAGAGGCAGGGCATCCTATATGACTACTTAGGGGAAGCATTTTTGGCTTTTTTCCGGTTGGTCCTAAGTTGGAAGAACTGGGACAAAAGTTAGGGAAGCTGTCAGTTATCAATGGAGTCCTGGCCACTTAGGGCCAGTTGTTACAGGATTTATTGTTTGTTGGGGATAGTGGGGCAGGGGGCAGGGTGGGAAGAAATTAACCAAAGATATGCATACTAGAGGCCTGGTGCATGGATTCGTGCACCGGGGGTTCCCTCGGACTGGCCTGCGCCCTATCGCAATCCGGGTCTCCTGGGGGATGTCGGAGAGCTGGTTTCGGCCCGATCCCCGCAGGCCAGGTGAGGGACCCATCTGTGCACCAGGCATCTAGTATTAGAATAAAACTCACACTCCTTGCCAGAGGTTCACAAGGCTCATGTGACCTTGCCCTGCCCACCTCTGACTTCCTCTCCCAATTCTCTCACCCTTATTCATTGTAATTCAGCTCTATTGGCCATTTTCTCTATTCCTGAGAAGAGCATGAGTCTATGAGCGGTTGAGTATTGCAGTCACTGTCCTCAATGTCTGAAACACTTTGCCTGCAAATCTTCACGTAGCTATTCCGATTTCAATTTACGTGTCATTTCCAGCCTGGCCTTCTCTGAGCACTCAATCTTCAAGTGTTTTCCCACCTTTCCCCCATCCTTTGCGAGGGTTTTTTGTTTGTTTGTCTCCCTCACTGTAATGTAAGCTACAGGAGTGTAGGGACTTTTTCATCATGCATCCCTAAGTCCAGTACCTGGTATATACTAGAACTAGATCCTCAGAAAATACTGGTTGAATGAATGTGTGACTTTGATATAACTTGCTCCATTGATCTTATGACTCTTCAAAATAATCTTTTTTTTCTGTAATTAGTTGCTACTTTATTGCCTGTTCCACCCACCCAGTGAGAACACCATCTTGTCTGCCCTGTTCATTTCTGTATTTCTGGAGTGCAAAGAAGCTCTTGGCATATAGTAGGAGGTGGAGTCAGTAGATACTTGTTATGAATGAATAAGATGACATATTCAATTTTCAAAGATATTAAAATCAGGAGTGGAGAGAAACATCACTGCGACAGAGAATAACAAGGGACTGTGAAATTTCTGGAGACACCGATATCAGGAAAGGCGAGTCTCAGTTGTCAAGCCAAGAGGGTTGAGGTTAGATTTGTGCTTTGAGATGAAAACCTCTTACCATTCCCAAGTCACGGGATCCAGTGGGTCCAGCGTGCAATCGAAAGAAAATTTCTCACATAGCAAGGAAATGCTACTGTGTATCCAGAAGATTACAAGCATTCAGTAAATGCTCATTGATTAATTCCTTGTCACAATTTCTTGCAGTGGTTCTCAACCTTCCTCATGCAGCGACCCTTTCATACAGTTCCTCATGTTGTGGTGACCCTCAACCATAAAATTATTTTCGTTGCTACTTCATAACTGTCATTTTGCTACTGTTAGGAATCGTCATGTAAATATCTGCTATGCAGGATGTATTTTCAGGGGTCTCGACCCACAGGTTGAGAACCGCTGGTAGAGAGACCTTGCCCACCTCGTTGACAGGTCCTCGTCCTAATGAACTACATTTCCCAGCATGCCGCAGAACCAAGTCGGTTTAAAATGGACTACAACTCCCGGCATGCCGCGCGCCCCGGCAGAATGGATTACACGCTCCAGCAAGGCGAGTGGAGAGCCTATCAGGGCGGGGCGGGGCGGGGCGGGTTGGGGCACCCGAACCGGTTTCACGGAAGGACCGGCGGCGGCCGTGGAGGAGGATGGAGGCGGTGGTGTTCGTCTTCTCTCTCCTCGACTGCTGCGCGCTCATCTTCCTCTCCGTGTACTTCGTATCCTTGCCTGAGGCGGGCGGAGGCCTCCTCCCCGGGGCCCCCGCCGGAGGGACGGGCTGAGGTTGGGCCCGGGTGGGGGACCCGGGCAGGTGCGTGGGAAGGAGGAGGCGGGCGCGGGCCCCTGGGTGCGGGCCGCCGGGACCGGAGTGGGTGTGGCGAGCCCGGGCCGGAGAGCGCCCGGCATTCCTCCTCCGCCCCGCTGGCCCTGCCCGGGCTGCGGGCCTCGGGTCCGAGCGCGCCTCTCCCGCAGCGCCCGGGCCGGGCCTGCCCGCCGCCGCTCGCCCCCGCGGTGCTGGGACCAGCCCTGCCCGGAGCGGGCCATCGTGGCCTTGTCAGGTCTTCGGAGGAGAGGGGGCGCGGCTCGCCTCCCCTGTGGCCCCCGAGAGACCGGCTGGCGGTTTTTTTTTTGGAGATCCCCCCAGGGCCGGGCTCTTTGTCGGATGCGGGGTGTCCCGAGGGCGAGTGCCCACGTCCTGGGGTGCTCGCTCCTGGGCCCGCGGGCGTTGGGGCGAGTTGGAGGCGCTTTGCCACCTCTGGTCATTCTCTGGGCACCCCCCACCCTTAACCCCCCTTGCCGCCCGCCCCCCGCCCCTTTGTTCTCGCGGGTTTAGGAACTTGGACCTTTTACGTTCAGGCGTTGATTCTTTTTCAAAAATGGGTGGAGGACACCCCCTTTTGTAGGTGCCGTTTTGTAGGGAGTGTTGGGAAGGATGCATTTATAAACCATCTGCGGTGGATTCTTTTGGTTGCCCTGGAGGCTGCTGGTCTGTGAATGGAGCCGCTGGACACGAGCTCTGTCTGTAGTTCCCAGGTCGCTCCTCGACGTGCCCACTTCTCTGGGTCCGTCCAGGTTCAGAACTCAGTGTGTCGTGGGTAGCTCTTCATGGGACAGCATTTCAGCTGTATTTCCAGGCCCGCAGAGGTGGGGACACCCAGCCCCAGCCCCCCAGGAGCTGGGTGCGCTGCAGCTCTTCCCTGCCCTGGAGGGAGCAGCTAGTCTTCGCTGTCGCCCAGTTCATTGAAGTCATTAAATATAAGCCAGGAAAAACTGCATTGTTGTTTTTTTCCCCCCTTGGAAATCACACGTGCCCCTGTCCGACAGATTTAAACATTTTGTTGGCCCGAGTATCTTGGCTTTTTAGGGTGGTTTTACCGAGTGCGGTTTCCATGCATTATTGTGGGAGAAGAGTTTGATGTCGGGCCTCCTTGCTTAGCTGGATAGTCGCCGTGGGCATTACTTCACCTCTCTTAGGCCTTCGTTTTCTCTTTATTTTTAAAATATATTTTTGCTAGAGGCCCAGTGCACAAATTTGTGCACAGGTGGGGTCCAGCTGGCCCAGCCGGATTGGGGGGTGATCGGGCCGGTGGGAGGGGCCGAGGAGGTTGGCCAGCGCCCCTGCCCCCAGTCTGGCCAGTTGACTGGCTGCAGTGCATCATAGTGACCAGTCGTTCTGGTCGCTTAGGCTTTTATATATATAGATTGATTTCAGAGAGGAAGGAAGAGGGAGGGAGAGCTAGAAACATCCATGATGAGAGAGAATCATGGATCGGCTGCTCTGCAAGTCCCCCACCCCCACTGGGGATTGAGCCCACAACCCTGGCATGTGCCCCTTGACCAGGAATTGAACCTGGGGGCCTGTCAGTTCAAAAGGTGGACGCCTCTATCACTGAGCAAACCGGCTAGGGCTCGTTTTCTCTTTAAAATGTGTAGAGGGTTTTTACTTCCCCGAGTGTGTGTGTGTGTGTGTGTGTGTGTGTGTGTGTGTAGTGAGAACAGGTGCTAAGCACCTAGCATTGCCCGTCCCATGGCCAATAGTCAGTAACTATTGCTCCGCCTTCTTCTGGTGCAGTCGCATGAGGTTTGAAAGGGCAGCAGCATCTGCCTGCGTTTGGATGACCTATGTCCCTTTTGTGACAAAGGAACTGGAGCTTACACTCAGGGGAATGAAACTTGGGTTTCTCGTTTTTGCAGTTTGGAAAGTCAGGCTCGATATTTTAAAATAGCCTTGGCGTATACCAGTTTAATATTCATAGAAAAATGTTAGGTGGAATATTTGACTTCGACCATAACCTACATTCAGGGTGTGTTTTGATGAAACCTGGTCTATTGTATGACTGTGTTTTTGGGTAGTTGAACTAGCTTTTTTTTTTTTTTTTAATGTATTTTTATTGATTTCAGAGAGGAAGGGAGAGGGAAAAAGAAACATCAATGATGAGAGAGAATCATCGATCGGCTGCCTCCTGCACGCCCCCCACTGGGGACCGAGCCTGCAATCTGGGCCTGTGGCCCCAACTGGAATCGAACCCAGGACCCCTCAGTCCACAGGCCGACACTCTATCCACTGAGCCAAACCAGCCAGGACTGAACTAGCTTTCTTAATATTACAGCCAAGAAGTGGGAAGTGGGCAGGGTAGACATTCTGTAGGGATAGGAGTTCTTTGGACTTAGTACCCTACAGAGCGCCTGCAGAGGAGGAAAAGGGGTGGCTATTTATAATCACACCCGGGCAAGAGCAAAGGTGTGCCCATGGCATTTGTGGGTGCTGGGGTTAAGGAGCACATGGCTGATTTTGGTGGTAGTAGGAGCTCTGGGTGGAAAGGCTGAATTAGATCAGATTTTGGAAGCCTGGAATGTTAAGGAGAAGGGCTTTCCACTTTTATTCTCTAGGCAGTAGGGAGCCATGGAAAAATGTTGACAGAAAGGGGTGTGCTAGGAAGATGAATCAGCAGAATGGGTTGGAAACAGGAAAGATTGGAAGGTAAGAAACCATTAGGGTTCGTTCATCTGGATTTGAAAAAGAGGGCTCCTTGTGGGCAGGCGGAAGGAGGGAGTGAGGAGAGTGGAATTAGGGAGGAATGATCGCTAGGACCTGGTAGCAGCTGATTATGAGATGGAAGCAGAAGGCAGACACCACTTTCCATGTTTTGAGCCTGGGCAGGTGATGCTTGTGTCATGGACAGAAATAAAACAAATTGGAATAATTTGTGGAGAAAGCGATAAGTTTGACTATAGCGTATTGAAGTCATAGGGGAATAGTTATATGAAAATGTTTTAGAGTTTAATGGAAAACATTTGCTTGTACTTGCATTGTTGGGCATTTTCAAACTTAGAAGTAGAGGCAGTGATGTAATAAGCCCCATGTTTCTATCACTCGCCTTGAGTGATTTTCAGCATTTTGCCATTATTTTTCATCTCTCTCCCAGCTAGTGGGGGGAGGTGCTGGGCATTTTAAAGTAAAGCCCAGGCATTGTCTTCCAGTTGAAGGCTTTTCCTTTCGTCTATCTGTCCCTCAAATGTTTATTTGTGAGTTTATATTTTGTACTAAAAACCATTTTTTTGCTTAATTCCAGTGTAATAGATGTTTATTGTAGAAAGTTTGGGAAATAGAGAAAAATATTAGGAAAACAAATCATTTGTAATCCAACTTTTGCAGCATACGGACTGCTAACATGTCCATGCTATATTTATAGTTTTGTATTCTGTTTTCTTTTTATGTATCTTAAGTCTTGAAAGACATTTTATGGTTATATCATAAGTAAACACTATTTCTCTACTATTGAGGAGAATTCAGGTTTTTAACATTTACACTGTTTTTATAGGTCTTCTTTTTCCATTTCTTATAGCCACTGTTTGGCATTTGAGGAATTCAGATAGAATGGGTCACATTAGAATTGAGCACAATGAAAGGATTATTTTGTGAAAATCATTTATTTGTTGAAGGAACCCAAATGAGAAAATTCTGTTGTCAAATGAGTGAGCTTTAAGGAAACAACTAACTTTTTTCAAGTCAAGTCTAATTCTGCCTTGCAACTGGGATTGTTTTATGAAACTTAAATACTTAATTGTTATAAAAGAAGTCTAAAAATTCCTTATCTTGATCATCAGATCATTACATTGTCTGATTTAGAATGTGATTACATTAATGCTAGATCATGTTGCTCGAAATTAAACAAGGTAAGACATTTCTTTGCTCATTTGCTGACATTGAAGGCAGTTCTGCATTTTCTGTGTGAGATTATAGATAACCAACATGTATGTTTGATTTCAGAGTGCATATGGCCTCTTATCGGAATGCTGGTAGAATCATGTGTTTTGCAATGTTTTAAATCATGAAACTACTAGAAGACCTATCTTGGAATTTTGTTCGTTTATTCTGCTTCTTGTCCCTTTGTCCACAGAGCACGTTATTACTCAGAATAGGTAAAGGTTTCTCATGAGGTTGTTTTTGTTTTCTGTGTCCCACCCCCCCCCCCCCCCACACACACACACCCCCGCGCGCTCATGGAAAGAAAGCTTAATCTGTCTTCAGTTGAATGAAAGACCTTCTTTTTGTGGCTTGCTGAGAAATAGAATTAATTAGCAGATCTGTTTGACAGCCATTTTGCCTTTGGTATCCAGTCAGAACTTTCAATTGGCAAGAATATTCTGAATGGCAGAGCTTGTCTAGATGCAGAGAAACCCGTTGATCCTGATTCAGTTGAGATGAGCAGACAGAAGAGCTTTCTAGATAAAAGTTCATATAAAAATAATACTGAGAGGTGCTTTTGGCCTGACCTAAAAGTGATTTCACATCTTCAGTCTACGTAAGCTTCTCTGGCCCAGAGGGAAATAAAGATACACTCGGAAAGTTAAAATTTCTAGTAAACTATATTCCTTCTCTCTACTTTTCTTTCCCTTTCTCTCTCTCTCTCTCTCTCTCTCTCCCTCTCTCCCTCCCTCCCCCCCTCCCTCCCTCTCTTTCTTTCTGTCGAATTTTCCAGGACATGGTTTAATACAGCAATAGATTTAAATAAAATATTTTATGTTTACCTGCTATGCTTTGAGAATTCTCTTTAAATTTTTTATTGAGATATTATTATATGTAACATTAAATTAGTTTCAGGCCTTCTCATCTTTAGAGAAATGACTACATATAATAAGATGGATTGTGTGTCTTTATATTGCTTGCTTTCTCAATATTTTAGGTGGGTATTTGTTGGTTTTTTAAAAAATAAAAATAAAAGTCTAAATACCAAGAAAAGCTTATCTGGATTCTTCTACTGAGAAAATTACTCCCTCACTTTGAAGTTAAGTACTTGTTTTAACGCTAATTTTTATAGGTAACTTTTCCTAGTTTCCACAGCTAATAGGATAGCGCATGATTCCACTTCAGGTTTGTTTGACTTTGCTGCTCACACTTACGTTAAATTGGTCACATTTAAAAAATGCATATACATATTAAAAAGTTTCAGTTTGTTGCAGATTAGGTTTAAGGCTCAGAAAACCCCTCTTTGTTTGCAAAAAGAAAACTCTAAATGCAAGAGACCTGGGGCAGCAGCCTGGACTTACTGTACTCTGTGCCACTAAGTCATGGGGCAAGTTACTTAATCTCTGAATTTTACTTCCCTCATTTCTACAAATAGGGAATCTCAGGTTTTGGCTCCATAAATATTAGCTTCTATTAACTTCTATTAAAAGAAAAATGTCTACTCTTAGAAGAAGAAGAACCATTCATGAATTGAGAACCTGCCACCATAGTGTTGAGGCATGAGAAGTAGAACATTGTCCAATAAACAAAGAGCATAGCTAAGGGCATTTGGGTGCTATAAAGCCAATAGGCTGGGATTCTGGTAGCTTAGTTCATTATCATATTTGTTCAACTTTGAGCTGTTATTGTTAAAGTACTTTGTCTTTGTGTGTGTGTGTGTGTGAGTGTGTGTATGTGTGTGTGATTGTAAAATGTTAAGGCTGATATTCTGACATGAAAGGCAGCATGCATGTGGATATATGTCCCAAATTAGAGTAGGGGCTTCAGCATAGATAGTGGTATAGAAAGTAAATACTACTCGATTTTCCCCCTAATTGTCATTCATACCTGCTTAGTGGATGACTTGGAACATTTGCTACGGACACATAAGACATAGTTGAAGTTGAAGTGCATTATTTGCAAGCTGTGCCCTCATGTGTCTGCATGGGCTAAGCAGTTACAGCAGTTTGCAAATCTGGGACATGGAGTCTAAAAATATCTTGAAACACTAGCTTGGAAGTTCCCCGTCCCTTCACTGATTTAGCTTTAAGTGACATGTCATTCAGGAAGAACCCAGCAGTGAGATGTGTGCTCTGTTCTCCCCTTGCAGTGGATCATTCCAGAATTGATTGGCCACACCATTGTCACGTTATTAATGCTCGTTTCATTGCACTGGTTCATCTTCCTTCTCAACTTGCCTGTTGCCACTTGGAATATATATCGGTGAGTCTTGTTTGTTTACTGTTTCGTGTCGGGGAAGTTTAAAGACATTTAAAAAAAATATATTTTATTGATTTTTTACAGAAAGGAAGGGAGAGGGATAGAGAGTTAGAAACATCGATGAGAGAGAAACATCGATTCAGCTGCCTCCTGCACACCCCCTACTGGGGATGTGCACGCAACCAAGGTACATGCCCTTGACCAGAATTGAACCCAGGACCCCTCAGTCCACAGGCCGACGCTCTATCCACTGAGCCAAACCGGTCAGGGCTGACATTTTTTTTTTATCTTAACAGCTTTCTCTTCTCCAATAGAAGAGTCGTGGGACTCAGAGGGGCATTTGCATTCCTAGAATCAGGGTTGAGAACTGAGTGTGGGGTGAGAGGGAGGGAGAACTACAAGAATCTTGGACGTGAAAGCAGGGAGAGGCCACGGGCAGTATCAGGCGAGGCTCTGTGTGTGGCACGGAGCTCCCAGTCCCAGTCTGGATGTTGAAGCCCAGGTTCTTCTTAAACTCATGGTTTCTCTCCAAGTACCCCGATTTCCTTATTCGTAAAAGGAGTCGATCAAGGAGGAAGACTACCATGTGCAGCTACTACAGACACAGTGATATTAAATAAATAGGAAATGTTACATGTTATCTGAAGTCCTAAAGGACTCCATAGTATTAACTATAATATATTAAATACAGCATTATCGAGATTTTTTTAAAAAGTTGCAGTCTATTGTGAGTCTGTGTGAACTGGTCTGGATGTGGAATGAGGAGCACGCTTACGGTGCCCTTACCTTCTGTGTTGACTTACAGCTCCGTTCCTAGTTCCCCACTGTGGTCAGACCGCCACCACTATGACAAGTACAGTTCTTACTTGTGTATTTGGCACTTCATCTTTTTTTTTTTTTTGTAGTTACGTAAAATTAGACATCGAATTTTTAATCTGAACTATTCATTTACTATCTTGATGGAAGAGTTTTATTTCATCACAATAGCATTTATTCTAAATCATTTCTGTTCTGTTTCCTTTGAATTGCCTTGTAAGGGAGGTACTGTTCATAAACCACGCGGATTGAGACATTCTCTATTGATCAGCAGAAGCACAGAGATGAGGTTTCCGGTCTGGACATAGACCCTCTCTTTTAATTATCATCTGAGAAATGGGAATAATTATGTCTGACACTACTCTTCCTTATGAAGATGAGAAAGTGAAGGGATTTGCACTAATTGATTTAGAACCTTTTAGATAAAGAAGTTTCTAAGAACTTGATAAGATTGGTTTGGTTTGGAGCCCCCTCCAGTGGTTTTCTACAGAAGATGTGGAAGAGGGTCTCAGTGCATAAAATACGCTTCTCTAGAGTGTTCCTGTATTTGTTTCAGAGGGCAGAACACTGCACCACAAATTAACAGCGTTGTATCTTTCAAAGGAAAACAGCGGTGGCCTGTGACTTTACCATAATCCCCTGTTCATATTTGGTCTGAATTTAAAACTGCTATGATTGGCTCACTTTTAAAGGTTGACGATTATTGGTTACTTAGTTTTGAGTATTTTTGCTGATGAGTTGATTTTCCTTCTAATATGTGTGCATCCTTTAATTTATCAGGTTCATTATGGTGCCAAGTGGTAACATGGGAGTGTTTGACCCAACAGAAATCCACAATCGAGGGCAGCTGAAGTCACACATGAAAGAAGCCATGATCAAGCTTGGTTTCCACCTGCTCTGTTTCTTCATGTATCTTTACAGGTGAGTTTGCCTGTAAAGCGGCCTTTCCTGGGCCCCCTGCCTGCTTTTGATGGGTGAGACACTATTCTGTAGGATTTAGCGTTGACATTGCAGAGCTTTGGGGGGTTATGTGAATTTCTTGCAGTGTGTAGGTTTTTGTGTATGTCATTGCATTAGCATTCTGTCTGACCTACAATAGAGTTGCTCTGTAGTATTAGTTATTCCTTAGCTGTAAAGTTGTCAACATGCTTAAACTGTCTTTGCTACTCCTTTCCTAGTGTCCAGTTTTGAGGTCTCACTGCCTGTTATAAATATTTGTAGCCTAAAGCTTGTCCCACTCATGGGATACCAGACCACTGGAGCAGCTCTCGGCAACTTACAGCCAACTTGGCCTATTTTTCTCGGCAATAAGGGACTGAGGTGTGATGCCTATTCTCCAGCCTGCCAAGTGGTCCATTCTGGTAAAACTGCATCAGGCTTCGGTTATAACAGGTTGGAAGTGTAAGAATTAATCTTGGCCGGCGTGGCTCAGTGGTTGAACATCGACCTGTGAACCAGGAGGTCACAGTTCAATTCCCAGTCAGGGCACATGCCTGGGTTGTGGACCAGATTCCCAGTGTGGGGCGTGCAGGAGGCAATGATTCTCTCTCATATCTCCCTCTTTCTTCCTCTCTGAGATCAATAAAAATATATTAAAAAGAAAATTAATATGAAGGATTGGAGGATTGGCTGTCAGACACTGTTTGAAACTTAGATTTATTACCCTATGTTTTAGAGATAAATTTTTTTAAACCTATCATAGACCCATAGATAAAGCAGAGGAAGAAAGTTGTCATGTGTATGGCTTGGTTAAGCCTTTATGATGCTAGACATCAGGCTTAACCTTTGTATCTGAGCTTAATTAGATCATTCCTATTTTTTTGCAGGTAAATTTTAATTTTTCACAAGGGCATAAGGGCTGTTAGGAAAAACTTGCACTGAATGAAACTTCTATCACTCAGAGGAGTCTTAATAATTAGAAACTGAATAGAGATAGCAGGCTTAAAAAATGTCAGAAGTTGCCCTAGCTGGTGTGGCTCAATGGATAGAGCACCAGCCTGCGGACTGAAGGGTCCCGGGTTTGATTCTGGTCAAGGGCACATGCCTGGGTTGCGGGCTTGATCCCCAATAGGGGATGTGCAGGAGGCAGCCAATCAATGATTCTCTCTCATTGATGTTTCTATCTCTCTTTCCCTCTCCCTTCCTCTCTAAAATCAATAAAGATATATTAAAAAAAATAAAAATTGTCAGAAGTCAGAGCCATTTTAGTTCTTTCTGAATAACTAGGCCTCCTGAAATCCTTTGACTGTGTTAATTTCACCCACTAGCATAGAGTAGATTAAAGTTGAGTTTAGATGGTTTCCTTTTTGCTATTTATCTTACTTGCTTTTCTGTTTTTTAAAAACTAGGACGGAAAAGCACATTGGAATTAATTTCTGATTCTCATACCCTACCTCACTGATAATGTGCTTAATTTTTTTGTTGTTGTTAATCCTCACCCAAGGATATTTTTCCATTGATTTTTAGAAAGAGTGGGAAAGAGAGGGAAAGACAGAGAGAAACATCGATGTGAGAGAAACGCATCGATTGGTTGCCTCCTGCACGAGCCCTGACCAGGGCTTCGGCCAGGGAGGAGCCTACAGCCAAGGTACGTGCCTTTGACTGAAATCGAACCCAGGACCCTTTGGTTCACAGGCTGATGCTCATCCACTGAGCCAAACCAGCTAGGGCTAATGTGCTTAATTTTTAATCCTCGTATTAAAGATGAAAAATAAAGAGCAGTCCTAGCTGGTTTGGGTCAGTGGATAGAGCGTCGGCCTGCCGACTGAAGGGTCCCAGGTTCGATTCTGGCCAAGGACACATGCCTGGGTTGCGGCCTTGATCTCTAGTGGGGGGCGTGCAGGAGGCAGCTGATCAATGATTCTCTCTCATCATTGATGTTTCTATCTCTCTCTCCCTCACCCTTCCTCTCTGAAATCGATAAAAATATATTTTAAAAAAAGAGCAAAGAAATGTAATGTTAAGAACACAATGGTACACCTATTTTCATTTTTGCCACTTTTTGAAGTTAAACCATATGAAGGTATCTTTACCATCATATATATTCCCTTATGTTTTTTTTTTTAAAATATATTTTATTGATTTTTTACAGAGAGGAAGGGAGAGGGATAGAGAGTTAGAAACATCGATGAGAGACAAACATCGACCAGCTGCCTCCTGCACACTCCCCACTGGGGATGTGCCCGCAACCAAGGCACATGCCCTTGACCGGAACCGAACCCGGGACCTCTCAGTCCGCAGGCCGACGCTCTATCCACTGAGCCAAACTGGTTTGGCCCTTATGTTTCTGAAGAGACAAAAAGCAAGCGGGGATCAGCTTAGCTCAAGGTTATTGCTTCATCCTCCCACCCCTCCAGGTTTTACATTGTTGGAGCAGAGTAGAGGGGCCATTCCCTGGTCTTGCTAGCAGGAGCTTCTTGGGACAGCTGTGGGCACAGCACTGTGGTCACACTTCCGGGAGTGAATGTAGGATTAGGGAGCAGTGTCTTCCTTAGTAGACCAACACGGCGCCTTAAGAATTAAAAACGCACGCCAGTCTCTTAGCTCTCGGTTGTTGAATTTCAAGCAATGGGAAGAGATGGGTTGAAGACGGGGATCAGAGGAATCAGGAAGCCGTCTGGGGCAGGTTTAAGGTGTGGTTCTTTACAACCGAGCAGATGACAGGCCACCTGGAAGGGGTTTGACTGAGTCAGCGGCTCCCTCTCTTTCTCTTCTCTCCTTTTTCCTTCTCAGCTTGTCATTTTTAGGCTCATTGCTGTTACCTTACCGCTTGGAGCCACCCATGGCTCAAGGGATCAGGATGAAAGAATCATCTCAGATGTCCTTTGCTCTTAGCTTGTGGTTGCTGTTGTTTGAGTGGTTTTATTTCCAAAATCATCAGATTTCCAATGCAGGGATTTTATGCTGCTCCTTTCTGTGTCGCTGGCCACAGCTTGCCTGGGTGCCTTGCCTATGGCATTCATTCAGGGTTTATGAAATAGAATTAAAGGGAAAAAATGCCCGTCTTCTTTTAGAGATTGGAAGCATCTATGCCGTTGGTTTTTTGTTTAGTTACTGGTGTAGGGGCATCTGGGCTCTACCTCTTAGTCACTGTGTGAGCTGGGGCAGGTTTCTTAACCTCTCTGTGCCTCAATTTCTTCCTCTGAAAATGTGATAGTAGTAGTACCTACCTTATCAGTGATGTGGACTAAATGAGATCATGCCTGTAAGCACTGAGGTTTGTGCTGACCTATAGTAAACTCTAAAAAAAATATTAAAAAATATTGGTTACTACCATTAATCTGTTGTGTGCACTGAGTACACTCAGTATGGTTAACGTTGAACAACTTATACCACTGGTAATCCCAGGTTATTTCTGTGTATTTCATCATTTGATCCCAGTAGAGCAAAGCTGATTCCAGTAAAAGGAAATGATAGTTTGTTACTGTGGTGGTTTTCATAGAGTATTGAGAGACTGCTACATGTCAGGTGACACACAGGAGCAGCACACAATCTCTCGGTAAAAGCCAGGAGCCTGGGATTGCTGTAGTTGGATGTTATTCTGGAATATGAAAGTGACGATGCCCAGGTCAGAAGAGCACGCGTCTCAGAAGAGCTCACCATCCAGGGCTAGAACGGAAGCCAGCAGGTGGGAAGATGAGTTGTGGAAGGAGCCTGAGCAACTGCCCTGGGCTGAGGGGCCGGCTTCCCAGAGGAGAGGCTGACTGAGGCCGGACTAGGAATGTCCCAGTTGACGGGTCAGGATGGGGAGGCGGCTGCAGGCACAGAGTTGCCTGTACAAAGATCTGGTTAGGGAATTCGGTTTTTTCCTGGACATAGCTTGTTTTTTCCTAAATGACAGCTCAATATTGGTTTTAGGTTGTATTCCCCGCCCCCACCTTGATTACCTTATTTTTTAGTGAAAAAACATAGGGCACCTAGAAACCCCAACATAGACTTTCTTTTCTTTCGGTTTCAATGTCTTTTACTCAAATGGGTGTTCCCAGTTGAGTCTTAGGGATACGAGTTGGGACACAGCAGACTGTGTGGGAATTGCCTTAAGGACACGTTGGTAACCTGAGTTTCTTCTCTCCACAGTATGATCTTAGCGTTGATAAATGACTGAAGCTGGAGCAGCCGTGGTGGGAGTCAGCTACACTACAGTGCGCAGTCGAGGAGCCAGAGATGCTTACATCATCCTTAGGACCGTAACCATAGCAGTATATTTTTTCCTCTTTGAACAAAAAAATATTTTTGCTGTATTTTTACCATATAAACTATTTAAAAAACATGAATTGAGTTTTTGTAGATTTCTGGTTCTCCACTTTAGCCTGAACCCCAACATGTGAAGGTGTTTGTCCTCGTCTGTGCGTTGAAGATGGTAACTTGGATGTGGGAGCGGGACTGCCACTCCAACCTTCGCCAGAGAAAGGGAGGGCACACTTACAGGGAGAACGTGCTCGACGAGCAGAGCTGCTCATCACGTGACGGGAAAGGCCGAGTACAGAGCAGCCCAGTTAACCTTTCGCCTCTATCGTGGCAGCTTCATGTATTTAATGTAAAGATTTAGGGGACTGTCAGCGAAAGCCTTTTCCTCAGAATCTTAACAGAAAAAGACATTTTTCTAATCCTTTGCTAACCACACCCCTTGTTTAGCCACCCAATTCTGCCTCAACACGGAATAATCCCTTTGGACTCTGCCATAAAACATACCACGTTTTGCCTAAATGTCAATACTTAAGATTCTGGCCCACTATAAGCATTCAATACAGCTTTGGGGTTAGTCCCTCTCAGTACACTTCTTGCTTCTGCTTCTAATTCTTGGTCTCATTGCTGAAGTAATAACAGTAGTCCTGTGGTTCCCCAAAACTGCCTATGAGTGGATCAGTGCCAATTGACAACATAAAATTACTTGGGGTGTAAGGTGGCTTAAAAATCTCAAAGTTAAATGAAAAACATTTAGCACATTCATTAATTTGAATTGTGGATATGGTCAATCATCATGACTAATTATGTCTTTGTCTTAAGTAAGCTCTTTTTCCTGAGGCTATGAAAGAAAAAAGTTTTGAAATGTATGAGGGATCCCCCTTGCATCAATATGACCAAAGAAGCCACCAATCCTCATATCCAAAACGGAATTGAGTGAGCCCGGCCGGTGTGGCTCAGTGGTTGAGTGTGGACCTATGAGCCAGGAGGTCACGGTTCAATTCCTGGTCAGGGCACATACCTAAGTTGTGGGCTCTATTCCCAGTGTGGGGCGTGCAGGAGGCAGCCTATGAATGATTCTCATTATTGATGTTTCTGTCTCTCCCTTCCTCTCTTAAAAAAGACAAAATGGAATTGAAAACTTGACTGAAACTCGTCCTTCCCCATTTCCTGGGGTCGCTATAATTAATTACATGCTGCTTGAATATTTTGTTAATTACGTGATTAGAATGCTGTTTCATATCTAGGAAGCTCACGTTCAGTACACCAATAAAGTCTGAGGGAGAAGAGCTCACTGCCACAAAGTCAATGGCGACACTTAAGATGCTTGGAGGTAGTATTAGGATGATGGGGTCATACTGTGTGTTGAATCTTTAACAGTTTTAAGTTTTTTCTAGAAAAAATTTCAAGAAGTCATTAAATGATGTAACCAAAGACCAACTTTTCTTAAGTGGAAGGGAATTGTTTTAAAACACCACTCTCTACTCTTAAAGGTTGGGAGGTTTTTATTCCTGGAATCTGGCATGAAGCTTGAAATGCAGACGAACAATCCGAGTTAGCTCACTCTGCAATGCACAGCTGTATTTAAAGAACAACCTGAGTTAGCTCACTCTGCAATGCACAGCTGTATTTAAAGAAAACCAGTAGGAAAACTCCTTTGTTCTCTTGCCTGGTGACCAGAGGGAGCCGCAACCCTGGCTCAAAGCAGTGCCCCTTGGCCTCTGAGTGGCTCTGCCACCCTAAGCTGACGGCCAGCATTTGCCTGCCAAATACTAATTTTTCATATTTGAGCTTCCTTTTACTGAACAGAGCTCCACTCTTAGTAAAAATCTTAAAGCCCACTTCTGTAATAATTCACCCCGATGGGGCAATTGGTTTTCTTTTTCCCCCATAAATACAAATGTGCTACAGGTTTGTATACACTGAATGCTTTTCTCCAAGAAGATCTTTAAAGAACTAATACAATTATTATGACATAAATTTTAATTTCAAACTAGAAGTATATTTTCTCTACTAATCAATGTATTTGATGCCTAAGTGCATAATTTCAGATCAGTAATATTTTTGAACAAGCGGATATGTGACTCCTTTAAAATGTAAATTTTTCTAAGTTAATCCATGATTCCACACAAAAGTTCTTTAAAAAGATATCCCAATGGCCGAAACCGGTTTGGCTCAGTGGATAGAGCGTCGGCCTGCGGACCAAGGGGTCCAGGTTCGGTTCCGGTCAAGGGCATGTACCTGAGTTGCGGGCACATCCCCAGTGGGCGATGTGCAGGAGGCAGCTGATCGATGTTTCTCTCTCATCGATGTTTCTAACTCTCTATCTCTCTCCCTTCCTCTCTGTAAAAAATCAATAAAATATATTTAAAAAAAAAAAAAAGAAGATATCCCAACAGATAAAACAGCTTCCTTAGACATCAACTTAAAAAGTCAAATTCAGCAAATTGGTTGTTTCAGGTAAAAACAGTACTAAAACATGCAGATCAATGCATATTATGAGATTTAACACAGCAACAATTACTTACTCATTCTGTTTATTGGATTGAAAGGGAATACAAACGATTGGTTAAGTGCTACGCACTGACATGGAAAGGTGTATTAAAAAAAACAAACCAGTAACACAAATCAAAGTTAATGTAGCTTCAATTGAACAAAATTTTAAAGACATTTAATATACTACACATTTATAAACGTTAACAAAGGGTGTTTTGTAAATAATTAGTGGGACAAGTGAAAATAAATATCAGAGACCTGAAGTTTTTTATGCTTTAATGAAATAATAAAGCAAAGAAATTTAAAGTACTAAATATAATTTGAGAGGCAGTTAAAAAAACAACACAAACCAACAAAAAACAATACCCCCCCAAATTTAAGAACACAATCCTTTGAAACATTTAATCAGTCCATAGCAAGTAGTTATTACATACCAAAAGCTCTAATGTTAACTAGTTCCACCACAATGCCATGTAAATCTTGACAATTTAGAAATCTTGAGATCAACACAAGTTCTTTTCTTGATCTCTCCAGCTTGGTTTGTAAGGACATACATGCTCTTGTGGATCTAGTCCCCTCGCCACACACCCACTCCATTTTCAAGGAGCCAATAACATTTTTTTCCATCTGTGCCTAAAAATGTTACGATTCAGTTTTAGCACATTGACCCTGATAATGAAAATGTTTAAGTTCAAAGATGGGGATACCGTATCAGTCTTATAAAAATATACCAGTATTAACCAAACCTTCAATTCAGAGGGCATTCGCATGTGCACAAGACTTTTAGTAAAACTGACAGGAGCCTAGAACAGCCGTTTCCAGGCCTTTTATGAATACTCTCTCTCTTCCACAGACACACAACACACACATTTTTATACTATGAGTTCCATTACATCCAGGCTATCTGGATTAAGTAGATAGGGGATGAGTTTTTATCGTTTTGTTTTTGCAACTATATAGGGCAGCTACTGTAACAACAGCCTAACAACATTGAAAAACTTCAATTAAGTTCACCCTGTTTTTAGAAAGTGTCCATGTGAAAATGAAATTCACCTCTCTTTAAGTTTGTTTATATTAAGTCAAACATGGTTTTTGACTGGAAGTACTATTTTGGAGAGCAACCCCAAAAGAGAGATGCTAACGTCTAAGTGAGAAATTAAACCCAAATCAAAATGCGTATACATTTTAGAGATGGGGCAAAAGGATATTAAGAAAAATGTCTTCTTTCCTCCCCATTCAAAAGCAGCCATCTTCTGCTGTGAAAGAAACTGACATGGATATGTCCCTTTCAAGAGATGTACCATCTATTTACCACTGTGAGCAGAGGTTCTTGTGTGCAGGAACCAACATCCTAAAAAAGAGAATTTCAAGATGGGGAGGGGTGGGAAAGAAGGGTTTTCTATTAATGTCACGGAATGCCACTCTAGAGGGAGAACACTCCTAACAATAAATCGCCAGATTACTACTAGTGTGATTTCAGATTAAGAAAATACAAAATTGGATTTTTTCCCCTTTGCAACTAGCAGGTTATTTTAATTACTTAGTTTATATTTAAAGTCAGGTCATCCCTTTCTGTTCTCCCACCCACTAAAATAGGCCAATTTGCAGGGGCATTTGCAAGTAAAATTTCCTCTGTTTAAACTACTTACCTGGTTTTATGTAACACATTTACCTGGCCAATAAGAGTAACAGAAAGGTAGCTGGCATGAACTCTAGTAATTAAACTACAAAAACCAAAACTGAAGCGTAGTCATCCCTCCCAATTCTCCACTCCTAATTCTTTACCACCACCCACACGCGTCTCAGTAATCCCCAAATCCAACACTGTACTATTAATAACCAATTATTTGGAGGAAAAAGACATTTAATTTCATACTTGCTCTAGCCCTTAATCAATGAATAACAACAACAAAAAACATTTTTAAGCACATGGAAATGAGCCTACTAACCTGATTTTTGGGAGCCAAAATTCTCCACTCTATTTTGATCTATGTGCAAAAAGTATTGGTACTTTTCAGTTTCTACATTTGTTAGTATCTTGTGGCTGGTTTGATAGTTTTCTCCCATATATTCTCACTCTTAACCCTATGCCACACTAGTTTTCAGTTACATCTAGGGGTAGGCCATCCTGCTCTTGGGCTCTTTGTACCCTAAGTCCCTGGGTTTCTTCTTCATTTATTTCACCTTTCTAGCACAATCACAGCATGGCAAATGCAGGAAACAGACATTTACAGCAAATTGGCACAGCAAAGTACCAGTGTATGTAGGAAGCGGCCAGTTCAGACATACCTGGAAAACACACTCACCTAGCTAGCTGCTGCAGAAACCTTTGCATAGTTGTGACTCCGTTTTAAGGGAGTTATGTCATTGCGAGATGTGCCTCACACGCTCACTCCACTGTTTGAAAGTGTTTGCCACTGGACTTGAGAAGCACTCTGAAAACGCAGGCCTAGGGGCGGCTGGGTGGAGGAGGGCAGAAGCTGAGGGCCTAACTGCCCAGCGAGCGTTACCATGTTCCCGGACACACCGTGACCCTGTTTGTAAACAGCTGTGGGGTGTCTAGGCCCGCTTCCTGTTAGTGATGTTACTGTAGACTGGGGTGTATTAACGGCTTCAGGGTATATACATGAATCACTTAAAATATGGATTTAACTGTACTGAGGTAAAGAGAAGTTGCCACTTAATTATATACAGTTACCAATGAAGATTTTTTATTCAAGCTTAAAGTAAAAAGTAATTGTAGTTAAGAAAAATGAAGTACCAGATAAACTGTAACATATAGTATCTTAACTTAGAAGTATCAAAACAGGAATTCTTGATTCTAAGTAATGATCTCTGCAAAATGGAGCTTAAAGAAATCTTTTACATACCAATTTGATACAATAATCTGCTGACCACGATTTGTCATTTTCTCTGACTAGGAGAGCTTTTGGGAGAATCCGTGCTATTTTAAGGCCAATTGTGTTTTTCTTTCTTCTCCCCTTCCCCGACTTTCCGGTTTCTCTCTGCTGCCATCCCCAACCCCTCAGCCCCAATGGAAGAATTTCTGACATCCAAGTTTTTCCCTTCTTTGTGGATCCTCTAGAGTCTACTCATGGTAATAATATAGACTTGGCTGGGCCAAATGGGGAACTTAGTTCAAGGTTTTCTTCACCAGAATCTTATTTTGGGGGCCTTCCCACTCCTCTTCCCAGTGTAACAGCTGTGGTCACTGTATTTATCTTCTACTGAAAAAGGGAGGGAATTTCAAAGGAGTCTAAGGATGTTGCATTCAGCTGTTACGAACTTAAAAGCACAATGTGAACACCGGGCTTTTGGCTTATTTTAAATGTGAAATTCTCAAAATTAAAAGTGCTTTTCCATGAAGGAAACCTTTCCTTACACTAAAAGGGGAGGGGAGAGGGACAGACTACCCACAGCACCAGTTTAGAATGAGGTTCAGTATGGCAATATCTGAAAAACGGACAAGGAAGATTCTGTAAATGTATGTATCCCTACATGTCAAAATATTAAGGGCAATTAAGAGAAATGACTATGAGGTTTTAAACCCAGGTTAAATATGTTTGTAACCTGCTGAATTCTTCTAATGAGCTGTTATACTAGAAACTTCCAAAGTGGTTATTATCTGCTGACGTCTACTCTCTTGCTAGATCACACCAAACCATTTCCCAAGCTGAGAACAACTGGGAACAAGCTTTGCCGAAAGCCTAAGCTGACTACTGATCTCTCATGTTGATTGTATTTAACATTCTTTTTACATCTTGAATTTCTTCAAGATCAGGTACTGATGTTACTTCAGGAATAAAACAAAAGGGGGCAAACCTTCGCATTATTACTCTGAATGTCCTGTGTAATGTCCTTCCCACACTGCTTCTGACCATGTCTCAGGTGGCATTCCCGAAGAGCGCCAGTTGCACTGCGCATCTGAGTCAGAGGAACCTGTTTTTAAGCTGGTTTAGATTCCAAATGTATACAAAGGAAGTCACTTTGATCCTATAAATACTTCTTAATTTATTTTTTAAAAAATTGTGCTGTTAACCCTTTTACGGGGCAACAAGCTATGTGAAAAGTACAAAACTTTTTGTCAAATGTAGTATTGAGAGTGCTTTTGACATAGTTCACTGGTTTATCATCTGGATCTGTATATACTGTGCAACGGGCAAGGCTAGAATCCATGAACCAAGCTGCAAAGATCTCAAGCTAAATAAGGCGGAAAGATTTGGAGAAACAAAAGGAGGAAATTCTTTCCTATCCAATGTATACTCTTCAGACTAATGCACTCTTTCTATCAAGCCTTCTAAACTGTTAAATAAAGTTTCCAAACAAGCATTTTAAACTTCATTACACAGAAGAGCAACAAGAATGGTATCCCCCCAGACAAAAGGCAGGGGGGGAAATATATATACTGAGTTCAATGGGTAAGCCTGAATGTAGCACAGTTCTTCACAACCGATGGGGGAGAATTCAACATGGCGTCCAACAACGTTCTAACGACGCGCTTCATCTCAACTGGTTACTATGAAGCAAGGTGTAAATGTTTGGCCCCAATCGGGCTTCAGAAATGGTTCTTTTTTTCATGACGAGCATGTCTGTCCAGCTATCAATCATGTTTGTTTGCACCAAATCCCAAGCCATTAAAATACGACTAATTTAAGTTAAACAGAAGTCGTCTGCTCCAAATTCGCCATCAACTATCCATGCTACTGCATTCCTCTGAAGACAAGACAGGAGTGTATGGGAAGGGCGGTGAGAGGAAGAAGAGGGGAGGGGGAGAAAAAAGTTGCCGGTTAGAAAGTTTTAAAATCAACACCATGATATTAAAAAAACCAAACACATAAAGGCAAACTCTTAGTACTTTCATCATAATCACTAAAATGATGTGCCTGCATTTAGAGCTAAACTCATGATCATTTTGAATATTGCAGTACTCAAGTGAATAATCATATTGGAATCTTTTACTTTTAAAATGAACCTTGAAATAGTTATGCACAATAGGAAAATCTTTATGACAGTTTATAACAGTAAGACATATATGGCAGTCCAAGGCAGAACTGTGCATTATAACTATATACTTAATTCTCCTTTTAGTAGCTCAGTTTGAAATTCTGCAAAATCACCCTACTTTTTTTGGGGGGGGGGGTGTAATGTATCAACAGCTTTACTGATATAATTCACATGCTATACAATGTACTAATTTAAAGTGTACAATTCAATAGTTTTTAGTATATTCATAGGATTGTTAAACCGTCACCATAATCAATTTCAGAACATTTGCATCACCATTAGCATATACAAACACCCACCCCCAGTCCTAAGCAACCACTAGTCTACTTTCTGTCTCTATGGATTTGCCCATTCAGGACCATTTCATGTAAATGAAATCACAATATGTACTATTTTGTGTCTGGCTTCTTTCACTTAGCATATTGTTTTCAAGGTTCATCCAAGTTTAGCATATGTTAGTATTTGAGACTATTCCATTTTATATATTCCTCAAAATAAAACAAAACAAAAAAACGCACACACAGTATGAAACTTTACTATTATAATAAAAGGTTAGCAAATTCTCTATTTTGAAATGGAATTAAGTGACAAATTTTTATTTAAATGACATGTATAGCATATCTTGGGGTGTTATGATTTTTAAATGGCAACTTCTTTAGTTTCATCTATGTTTTTCAAAATTTCTATTCCAAACAGGTATTACTTTAATTAGAAAAAAAAACACACAAAAACATGTTTTCAAGCAGGGGAATAAGAACCCAGGAGATATCTGTATAAAAGGCATATAACCAAATTTCTAATTATAAAAGTTGTTTTCCTATTTTAGGTAGAAGTGAAAATCTTTTGGGGGCTATACCTATGTACCCAAAACACAATGGACAGTTGCTGAATTAGACTCCGACCCTACAGCTGAGCTAACGCCTGGCTTACATACTGCAGTGAGTATCCACAGTAATCACACCCACCAACGAGCAGCGAACTCGATCCCACTGCAGTACACACATCCTCAAGGGCAGCTCTAAAACAAACCCACTTACTATAAATCTCTTATTTTCCTACTTCTTTAAATCAAATATGCTTATTTAAAGAAAGAGCTTTTAAATGACTGATAAAGTCAGAAAAGCACATCTAATTATAGTTATAGATTTATAAATCATCTGAGAGAGTGGGTCTTGACATCTAAATAGGACAACAAAAGGGGGTTAAGTTTCTTGGTCTTAGTTGATTTCCCGTAAGGAATGTTAGAAAGTCACGCAGTCATCTACAAATACAGAAAGGCCCTTCACGGTCTGAACAACCCGGAAGGAATTCTCAAAACTCTGTGACCCACATGCTCTTCACGTTCCCCCCTCATCTCTGGCCATACATCCTCACCTGCCAGTAAGATCTGGCCAAGTCTTTTATAGTTTGTAGCACAAAGATAAACAAAATAAAAGCACAGAGAAGAGGCTTTTTCAAACCACAGATGCTGTCCTGACAACCGTCCTCTGGTGAGAATAACTTAACTGAGAGCAGCTGGTCATCTTTCTTACTAAAACACTCACGGGGGGCACACTATGAACAACACAATCTGTTTCTAGGTACATTCGTTCCTCCTAAGCAAACTGCACATTTTACTTGCTCTGTTTGAAAAAAGAAGGGTATGTCATTTACATAAAGTTTCTCATGACCTCTTCTCTCTAGTGCTGCTATCTGGGCTCAGTTAAGCTCTTTCTTCACCTCCAAGTCTTTGAAGCAGGGGAACCACCTTCAGGCCTGGATGTGCAAGACCTGCAGCCTCGGCAGTTTTCTCCCCACAGCAATGAGGGTGAGCACACTTCCCTCTTAGGGCCGTGAAGGTTTATGGGGGATACATATACGAGCCTAGCATGCTGCCTGGCACACAGGTACATGACATTTCAGTAGCTCCCTTCCCTTTCCCTATCCATCATGCATAGCTCATGCTAGTATGCTACATGCTGTTAACAGATGTTTATTTTTAAGGTTAAAATCCATAATCAAGATCATTCTAAAGTTGCTCACATTTTGTGTACTAGCTCGTTCTCATGAGTTTAAAGTATAAAATGCTTCAAGATTTCTCTAAGATTTTAAAGTGACAACACTAACTCGCTAACTGGTTGTAAATGAGGTGGCATGTTCTAGCTGATTCTCCCTACTGCCACCAATGAAACCACAAAAACAACACTGTATGTTAGAGTACTTGAACTCCAAATGAGGAGTGCGTGCACAATCTCTATAAAAGGGAGAAGATAAATGATATCCCACACTTTAAACTGCTGCAACTTTCTAATAAGCAGGGCCGTTTCAGCTGGAGAGGAGACGGGGAGCTGGGCAGTGGTGTTACCTTCAATATTCTGGTGGTCTAGAAAAGGCGCTGGTCCCCATATTCTAACGGTGCCATCGTCTGAGGCGCTGGCCATCATGGATGGGATCTGTGGGTTCCAGCTCACACAGTTGACTGTACGTGTGTGCCCTGTCAGCTCCGCAATGGGCAGTTCACTACGTTTGTGCCAGATGTAAACCTTGTGATCTGAATAAACAGTAATTCAGAGAACAGTTATGAAGTGTTATGTATTAACAAAACCGACCTCATCACACACAGAGAACACATGGCTGGACTATCAGAACTTAAAAAAATATATATATAACATTAACAGTTTAACAAATTACCTGATGAAAAGCCACTTTAATAAAATATACATACATTTCCCCATTAAAAGGCGATTAGCTCTCAAGTCACCACAAGACCTATTTGCAACATTCTGTAACACATGACTCATATATTTTCTATACACAAAGTCTTTGAATAGAAACAAATGTAGGTTAGAGATGATAAATTCTATGGAAATGTGGTGACAGAAAAGCAATGTATCCAAATTCAAAGTAGCAATAAGGATAACAGCTCAATCTTGACTGAGTGCTTACAATGTACTAGGTACTAAATACATATGTTAATATTTTTTGAATTTACATATATTATTTAATCTTCACCACCACTGTGAGGCGGGTACTATGCCCATGGTTAACAGCCAGTAAATGGTGAAGCTGGGACTGCCATCCAGGAGGCCCTCTCAGTTGCTTACCAGTGAGTCTAGACAACTGTCCCATATCTGCATCATCACATGGCTTTGCAGTCGGCTATTTATAACCCCATGAAATGACCATAAAAACCCAACCCCCCACAACTTTGTTACTTTGTGATAAAACCTTTAAAAAACAAAATAAACACCCAACCAAATAATACAGAACAGTGGTTCAGAGTGCGGGCTCTGTGGTCAGATGACTCCTTCACACCCTCCCTCCATCACTGGCTTAGCTGTGTAACTTTGGGCACGATGCCCACTCTTTGCAAAGCTTCCTCTGAATATGGGGATTCACACTTCCTCACCGTGTTCTGAGGACGGATAAGTTTGCATATGAAAAGGTGTTTTGAACAGTCTAGCACACAGTAAACATCATGTGTTACCATAAGAGTTAACACATGTAGGTGATGGTTCTTAAACAGAATCCCAGGGTAAATCAGAGAAGTGTTCAACCTGAAGATCTACTGGTCAATGTGGGAACTTCCAGGGGGTGTGCTGCCAAACGAGGAAGTGTCTGAGTTGTGAAAGGTGTGAACTGGTAAAGAAATATGCCCTGGTTTCAAAACTTGTAAGAAAAGATGAAAAGCTGGGACTGTATCTGAACTTTTGGTGTGTGTTTATGTGAAGCAAAGGCTAAGACAGTCATTGAAGAACTGCATTTGTCTTTCCTAGAAAGTACTTGTTGTTCAGTAATTTTCGAAAATATTTTTTTTCTTGCATAAAATGCAAATAGCAAAATAAAGAAAAGAGAGCGAGCAGATTAGTTGTTTCTTCCTGAACTGAAGAAGTCAACAAAAGAGAAAGATTACAGGCTTGAAAAGTGTGGATGCAACCAAAATCTGCTACATTTGGAGGAAAATGCTTTTATGAACACATATCCAAGGAGGGTATTTCCCGAAGAGGCAGCCACAAGTAGTCAGGTCAGAATGACAACTCTGCGATCAAGCCCTGCTTGCCGCCCCGATCTAGGAACCCAGACCTTACGCAAAGGTACACAATCAGTAGTTCTATATGTTGCCAGCACAGTGAAAGGGCTGGAGGAAAGGCATACTTTCTTGGGGGAAAGGTTTTCTAACTGCTCTATTTGATATAGGCATTCACATACTTGTGAATTTGGAAGGTCTTTGGAATATATTCCTTATAAATAAATAACAAATGAATTACTGTGGTCACCTTCAGAGATAATACACTCACTATATCCACATGCTGTTCAAAATAAACGTTTCATGTTTAGCCCTACAAAGAATATAATGTGGTGTAACTACATTATTCATCAGACTTAGTTCTGAAAAGATTAGCATGGCTAGGGATAATGATAGCCATACATATTAAAGCACTTCTAGAGAACTATTATTTTTAAGAGCTACCAGGGGTTGTGAGGAATAATTAAGAGGGGAAAACCCACCAGAAGCATGATTGAAGAGAGCACAGGGGAAAAGATCTTAGAGTAGGAGAGGCTAAAAGGCAAGTAGGAGGTTGTATTTAGACCACATCCAAATAGAAACCAGCAGAGAATCAGGGGAACGTAACATTGAACTAACAGGTAAAAAAGATTTTTTGACTGGAGAGAAGTAAACTCTCAACTGTCACCTAACGAATCACTCTTCTCTCCTCTAAATGCTGTCTGTCACCGACTTGGGGGGCGGGAGGGGGGTGGAGAATAAATTCATATACTTCATGTTCAAGTCTGAATTCCTAAATGTCTGCTTTTGTCCCAATCCTTACACAGACCTTATACACACAGGAAACACTCACGCATCCCATGTGATCCTCTTATTTATGGAGATGAGCTTTTTGGCAAGATCGGGACACTAAAGATCTTATGTAAAAAAATGGTACGTTCCCAAAAGTATTTAGTAACATGATCCAGTTCCTTGGAGTTTCTTGTAAAAGCAGATTCACAGTATTTTAAAAAGTGATGTAAATAATTAGTTGTCGTAGTACTTAGAACAGTATAGTAAGTCCCCAAGAAAAATGTGTTAAATGAAAAATTGCTGTATTATGTTTCTTTTTCGTTCACCTTAAAAAGTACACTAATTTTTAATACTGTCTTACTTATCTGTGCTTACATGTTTTAAACAATTTATATATTTAAGTGAGACTGACTACTTTAGGCACATGCTTGCCTGAAATACTAATGCTGTTAGACTGGAGCATAAATTTATTCAAAAAGGTGGTAGAGACAATTCTGTAATTTCAGCCTTTCTGAGACCATATGAATGATCAAACTAAATTACTCTCTTAGGCCATTAAAGAAATGCCATATATCTACCTATAGTCAATTCTGTGCAAGTTCAGGTAAAACATCAAATTAACCTTGACTTTTTATATACTAACCTCTGATAAAAAACATTAGTCTCATGAAAAAAACAAGTCAACATATGAAAGGTTTAACTAAATCTTGACTTCATACATGCACCAAACATTTCCACATGGTCAGAACAGGCACTATTGATTTCTTTTTTCTTTCTTTTTTAAAAAAATATATTTTATTGATTTTTCACAGAGAGGAAGGGAGAGGGACAGAGAGTCCGAAACATCGATGAGAGAGAAACACCCCTCACCGGGCATGTGCCCACAACCAAGGTACATGCCCCCGACTGGAATCGTACATGCCCCCGACTGGAATCGAACCCGGGACCCGAGTCCGAAGGCCGACGCTCTATCCACTGAGCCAAATGATAAGACTCAAGTCATTCCAAAAAAGGAGAAATTAACAGTGTACTGGATAAATAACTCCTACAACTTTAAATTTAACATCTGAACTTGCTTGGAGACATGCCCACATTCACATATTGAAAAAGTTATAGAACTTTAAACCCACCAATACGTGTGAAAGGATAGTGACACAAATGATTTACCTTCACTGCCACTAGCGATGAAGTCTTCATTATGGCCTCCAAAACATGAATGAATTGTATAAAACCCTTGTGTAACACCTTGATACTTTCTTACTAAAACTCTGTCTTGTAAGTCCCATAAATGAACTCCCTGTAGACAAAAGAGAATATAGGTATTTATTTACACCAACTCAAAAAAGAGTTTTAAAAAATCATCTGTGAATATCCCTTTCCCTAATGGAACATTTTCATTTTCTATTTATGTAAAATGCCAATGTTCTGACAAATTTAGAGTTGATTCTATGCACTTAGGATCAAACACATGCAATATAATTTAATAAGTGGTATAAATATTTGTTTATATTTATAATAAAAATCACAATTAAAATTAGAACGAAGATAAATTTTTTTGAGAATCATATTAACTAACTTACCTGAGTTGCTACATTTAACAAAGCTAATCGGCCATTCTTTGAAATAGTAAAAGACATAATGGGATGATCTTCTTGTACTCTGTAACCAGAAAACAATTTGTCAAAAGCAACATACTAGGAATCAAGGCATTCAAATTATTAAAATGTAAAATGTTCTAGTTTAAATATCACACCTTTGTCTGTAGTCATTATTTACAAGAAATATAATTTGAGTTAAGGATTGCTCAGCATCACCTGACCATCAATCCAAATCACCACAGAATTAACTAACACCAAATCCATAAAAACTCTTCTAAAGAGCAAGTTCAACTACATGTTTAAAAAAATTTATTTTTATTGATTTCAGAGAGGAAGGGAGAGGGAGAGAGAGATAGAAACATCAATGAGAGAGAACCATCGATTGGCTGCCTCCTGCACACCCCCCACTGGGGACCAAGCCCCCCAACCCAGGCATGCGCCCCTGACCAGAATTGAACCCAGGACTCTTCAGTCCGCAGGCCGACGCTCTATCCACTGAGCCAAACTGGCCAGGGCTCAACTACACATTTTAATATAAACCAGTTAATTGTTATTCAATGAATACAAAAAATAGTTACATGTTCCTATCTGTAAGGTCCTCGAAGTTATATCCTCGAATTCGCTGGTGTGTATCTGATGCCAGAACAGTCTTCCCGTCACTCAAGCACCAAAGGCATTGCACTCTCACACCTTCCCAGGAGTCAAGGAGATTGCCATCTAAGTCCTGAGCAGGAGAAAACGACAATGACCTTGGTCATTAAAAAGAAACAACCACCACTCAGAAAGCACACAAAGAAACAAAGCAATTCCTTATTTTTCTGTAATAAGATTGTCTATTAAATGTTTTTAATCATGAAAATCTGAACACAAGTCAAATTTCATTACACTGAAACCAAAGCGGGAGGGGGCGAGCATCTCTGCCAATCTGTCCTCCCTTCAAAAACCCTGCACACAGATCAACACAAAGAAAGAAAGAACTCCTAAGCTCCAAGTAATGTCTCACTATTAGAAAACAATTCAAACATTCCTTTAAAATTCATTATACCGGGGTCTGTCCTATCATATTCAGAAGTTGAGTCATGAAAAGATTACTAACACTGTAATTACAGTTATAAAACTTAGGAATATGTTATGTCATTTTTTAAAATTATGTCACCAAATTTGTAACGTGCTCTAAAGATCAAGATTTTTGAATATTAAAAGTGCTAAGAAGCACTTTACAGATTCGGGAACTACCACTATACCAAGTAAAGTTTCCTAAAGGTTTAGACACAAATTTAGTAAAACGAATTTTAAACATTTTACTAAACTCATGGTCTACACTTTGCATGAACACTTAAAACAGTTAAAACAAGGTCTTCATATAGTATATTTTAATTTTTTAAAATACATTTTTATTGATTTTTAGAGAGAGGAAAGGAGAGGGAAAGAGACAGAAACATCAATGAGAGAGAATCATTGACTGGCTGCCTCCTGCATGCCCCCCAATGGGAATCGAGCCCGTAACCCAGGCATGTGCCCTGAGAATTGAACAGGCAACCTCCTGGTGCATGGGATGACACTCAGCCAACTGAGCAACACTGGCCAGGCCATATATTATCTATGTACATAAATGCCTAAGTGACTGAATGACCGGTCGCTATGACGTGCACTGACCACCAGGGGGCAGACACTCAACACAGGAGCTGACCCCTGGTGGTCAGTGCACCCCCAGGGCAGGAATGCCGCTCAGCGGACCGAGGGGCGCCAGATGCAGGGCTCACAGCTGGCTGCCGTAGCCCGGAGACTGCAGCAGAGCGGCAGCGAGTCTACCGAGTGGTGTGGTGGCAGGCACAGCAGGGCCGGGATGAGCAGGAATGGCAGGCAGGAGCGGCAGGCGGCACTAGACTGCTGGTTTCGCCCGATGCCCGCAGGCCACGCCGAGGGACCCCACTGGTGCACGAATCTGTGCACTGGGCTTCTAATATTTTATAAAAATCAAGTGAATTCTTTCTTTAAACAGAACTAAATTTGCTTTCAAACAAGCAGACATCTGAAAGGGAAAACTAAATACTCACACACTGATAGAACTGCCCACGCTGACCTCCAGTGACAAAGCGTTTCCCATCTGGATTCCAAGCCACACTTGTTAAACTGTCTTCATGTGATTGGCTCATTTTTGTCCTTAGCTCTCCCGTCTACAAAGAAATAAAACTGTGAATAAGACCTTCAAGATACCCCTGTAAAGGGAAAGTGTACAGAAAAAAAAAAAAAGAATACTAACTGGGATATCTGGTTAGTTTTCTTAAATTGGCCTTATGAAAAATACTTATAGCACTTACAAGAGAAATTAAAGACTTGAAGAAAAATCCAGGAGTTGAACAATGCCTGGCACCAGTGACCCAAAGAATAGCTATGATGAGATAAACTCCAATAAAATTCCCATCTGAAATCAATTACATGCACAGATTAAAACATGTAATCTTTCCCAAGTAAGATGAAAAGTCTAACACTATACACCTACTCCTTCTGAGTTTCCACGACTTCTCAGGCCACATTTTATTTTAAATATTCCTCAGAAACATTACTAATAGGTAGAAAAACTATGTCCTTTAGGCCAAGGGTGTTAAATTTCATATTCAAGATGCTCAAAATGTAGTAGGGAAATGGGAAAGGAGAAATGAAAATTATTTTTCTGATACGTAACTTTATTTCAACTGAAAGTAACAGAAAAGAGAGAGGAATTTCTGTACTATTTAGCAATAGCCATTCTAAAGCATTCCCAACTAATAAGCAAGGCTATTTAGTGGTTACAACCTTCAGATATCCTCCTGTTATTTTTTCTAAGTTATTCAACTTAGAAGGTAGGCACATACCATTTAATCTAGTCTTGATTCCATTTTGTTCATGGATTAGAAACAGGATCTGAGAGAGAATAGCTGCCCTTGGTATAATTAAAAGTACATGGGCATAACTTTCCTGTGAGAAATGGGTAATCAAAAGTAAACAAAAAAAAAAAAAGAGTGAAAACAAAGTGTATGATCAGGAAATGGGGGCACAAAAATAGAAAACCAGATGTCTCCCTTACACTGAAAAAAATATTCAGCAATCTTAAATCCTTCCACCATATTGTTAACTGCTCTCATCTATTTATTTTTGGGTTGGCTGATATAAACAGTTAAAATAGAAGTTTAGAAGCACAAATACACATGTAAGAGCTAAACCCTCGGCATTTTCTATCCAGGAATATGTTAATACACTAAGTTCTGAAATGGCTTTTTCTTCTATTATGTTCAGGATAGTGAGTATATGAGGCTATTAATTTGGAACCTACCTAAAAACGTAATGGAACAGTTTGAAAACTGACTAAAAAAGAGCACCCTTTTAGAACAAGTATGTAAAGTCATGCACAGTAAAACAGTTAAGCTAAGAATAGTTTAATTGTCCAGAAATTAAAAAACTGATTCAAAGGAAGACTAAACAGGTACTATAAGTTAAGTCTCTATTACAGGATTATGAAATACAATACTGGTTTGATAAAAATGGCATAAAGACACTTTGGGAATGATTTGGGATTTTAAATTATGAAGTATTAGATAGCAGAGAACTATAATTAATGTTCTTCGATAAGATAATGGCACTGGATTATATAGGAGAATGTTAATTTTTTTTTTGGAGATACGTGCTAAGTATTTAGGTGTAAAATATATCTAATTTACCTTGACATGTTGTGAATATGAATACATGTGTAATGTGTATGTATGCATATTTGTATGTATGTATTTAAGTACACACACAAATGTCTACAACCATTGAATCTAGAATGGTGGGCATATGGGTAATCATTGGGCTCTTCTTTCAACTTGTCTTAATGTTTGGAAATTTCTTTAATAAAAAGCTGGTGTTGAAACTTCAGTAAATGACTGAGCAGTAAGAAAATTTTACTGATATAATAGCAGGATTAAAATTATGGCATATCATCTTTAGGTACATCTTAGTACTCAATTTGTCCTCTATTTTTATTTGAGTCATTTCCATGCAGCTTAATCTTCACTGTCTTGGTAAAAATCAACTTACTTATAAAGTTCCCCAGACTCAAAATCCATTCCTAGAAATTTATACTTTTATACTCAAATCATAGCCTAGGAGTTAAAAAACAAAAACAAAAAACAAACAAAAAATCACCTAATCAGCGTAGCAAAGGAAGTTTTTAATAAAAAAAAATTAAAAATCCTAACTATAAGTTTTCCAAAGCATAAACTGTAGGTAATGGAGCGAACGTAATGCTGAGTTTATCTAAAACGGGCCCTGGATAAAGTTCATGTTTTCAGTTAGGAAGAGAACAGTAATAAAGCCCTTTAGTAAGCACTGAAAACATCATTTAAGTTTACTAAACTAAATAAAAAAATTAAATACAGATAGGGAGATGGTGTGATTGCCATTAGAATAGAAAATCTGATTCAATGCTGATGTCTTCACACTTGAAAGATAAGTTTTGTGTACAATGATGAAAACTATGGAATCTAAAATCTTTTTGGAGATACAAAGTACCATAGTAAATAGCAAGAATTCTACAGTACAGCATTCTTGAAAATACTTATTGACCATTCTTCCAAAAATGCTATTGTACTTAGCATAATATTTAAATCTGTAAAATTTCTGGGCCCTTGGGTTCCATTTGAAGAATTTCCTTTTGTAAGAGGCACATTATGGTAATTTTGGTTGAATGGCTCTGTTCCATATAATGAAAATGTGCAGTATGACTATGCTTTACTTAAAGGCTACACCACGGATGGAACTTGCTCACTTGTACATTCCAAAGCCAAAGCTCAGAGCAGTCATCTGGGCCACAAGCAACAAGATAGTTGTCATCTGGACTCCATGCAATATAAGAAACGCCATAAGCATGTCCTTCTAATGTTTTAAGCAGTTTTAACAGGTGTGTGTCCTAGGAGGAAAAACAGACAGCTTAGTTAACTTCCATCCTTAAAGTACTGTTTCATGGGCATGAGAATTTATATAGCTACAAAGATATACTTTGATAATATAATCTGAGGAAGTGCACAATTTCACCCCAACTGAAGCTCTGACAAGCTTGCTTCAGAAACACCTGCTCATGCTGCAGCATCTTTTAAGCATCTACTTTACACAAGACATTGGCGCTGGATGGAAACATAAAAGACAATGCCCTTGGGGGCTTTCAAGGAAAGGAAAAACAGGCAGGAGTAGGAAGTGCTACCTCTTACTTATTTTTTAAAACAGCTTTATTGAGATATAACATATACCTAAAATTCATCACCCCCCAAAAGAAACTAATATTCATTAGCAGTCATTCACCATTCCTCTTCCCTTGGCAACTGCACTTTCTCTATGGATTTGCCTATTCTGAGCATTTGATGTAAATGGATCATACAACATGTGGTCTTCTGTAATTGGCTTCTTTAACTTGGCATGGTTGTAGAATGTATCAGTGTCTTATTTTTTTAAATTGTCGAATGATATTCCACTTTATGGATGTACCATACTTCGTTTATTCACTCATCAGTTGATGAACATTGGAATTGTTTCTACTTTTTGACTATTATGAATAATGCTGCTACCACTATGTATGAGTTTTTGTACAGACCTATGTTTCTACTTCTCTTGGGCAGCTTACCTAGGAGTGGAATTCCAGTATTATACACAACTCCATGATTAATATTCTGAGGAACTGCCAAACTGTTTTCCAAATGTCTGTACTATTATTTTACATTCCCACCAGCAGAGCTACCACTTTGGTGGTAATCAATATTAGCACTGTTCACAAACAGTATCTCATTTAATCCTCATAACTCTGAAAGGTAAGTATTCTCCTCCCCCTCCATTTAGAGAGGGTAGAACTTGCCTCTGTTTACAAGTAGGGATATGAACCTGGGTAGCCTGACTCTAAACAACTTGATACTCTTGAGCTGTGCAGGATGAACTGCAGAGAGCAAACATGGAGTGGCAAGTGACAAGCATGACATCTTTATTTTAGGGTAAGGGCTTAAATTTTATCCTGTGAGTGAAAAGCCACTATGATTTTTTAGGTGTGGAGTACATAGATGATATTTGGCTTTAGGAAGAGAACTCACACAACAATGCAGAAGACGAATCAGAATGAAGGGACACAGGATAAGGACGCCCTCAACAAGCCAATGCAACAGCCAGAGTGAAGACAAGAAATGAGGCCCTAAATGAACACAGTCGGGACTGAAAGAGCCAGATCAAATTATTCTCGGGACATAAAACTGATAGAACAGAACGAGATAGGAAATGTTCAAAGACAACCTCCAAATTTCTGTCTTAGGAGATACTGATGGATATGGACAGGAAATAAGAGGTAGGAATTTAACCAGAGGTGGGAAAAGGCAGTAAGTTTCAGACTTTGGTCTAAAGTTGAAAAAAAAAAAAAAAAAAGAGGATACGAACACTATATTCTCACAAGAACAGTCTCTCTATACTAATCTACCATGTTCATGGAATCCACTTACTTTTGCTTAGATTTTGACAGGGGGAATGGGCAAGACTATTGTTTTTAGGGGCAAAGGTAAGAAAATCCGCTAAAAGAAACTAGGCAGAGGGATCACAGCAATTCAATCTTAAGGTTCTCTAAGTTTTTTTTTTTTTTAAAGCCACTAAAAACACGTACACAAAAAGATCACCAATTTTCTCACAAGTTTTTCAAATAGTATTTGTCATAACAAAATACCATCATACCAAACTAAACCCATAACATCTCAGATCAGAATGTAAGCATTAACTCTACATTTCCCAACTAATCTGGCCACAAAAGCCCTTCACACGTAACATCTATTAACATTCTGCACAACCAGGACTCGGACAAAAGCACTCTGGAAAGCACTGGCAAGGAAGTCTAAATTCCTTAGCGAAGTATACAAGCGCCTTCTTCATCTGGCTGCTCCTGAATCCATTAACCTCACTTACTAGTCTACGAAATCTCTTCCCCGGAACTGCCCAAATGCTCTGCCATGTTTTCTTTCATCCAAGGGCCAGTGGTAACTAGCTTTGCCTAAGTAATTATTTACTACTTCTTCACCTGAGACTTACATGGCTTACTTTCCAAACAAACGTGGCTCTTACACGCTGCTGGGAGAAGAAAATGTAATAAAGCAGTTTTATATTGTTGCTCTTTTCAGACATCTGAGAATAACTGCTGAATGAACATACAACTCTTAAGAGTAGTTTCAAAGGCCATGTTTGGATCCCAAACTATTTTCCTACCCTTACTTCCCACTCTATGCCTTACGCATGCTACTCTCTTATTTGGGGGTGAGGAAAAGTCCCCCCCCTTTCTAGAATGCCCTGTTCCTGTCTCTCCCTGTGTTATGCACAGCAAGGCTCACAGGAGGTGCTCTACCTGGGAAGCTCGTGTGCTCTCATGAAACGTGATGTGTATTGTGTGATACTTATTTCAGTGTTAACTTCCTTTCCTAAACTCTAGATCCCTGAGATCTCCAAGGAGTCAATCAGGAACAGAAGCGGGGATCCTTGCACATAAATGAGAGGAAAAACACATTTTTATTTTTATGAACCATGGGCTAAAACTCCGTATTTCCTTCAATCTTGAATGTAGGTAATTAACAAGGTACAGTGTTAGTTATTATATTAGGCAGCATATTAGTACACTGTTAATAAAAATCTCAAATATTTTCACATCATTACAGTTGTTGCAGAAATATCAAAATACTATTTATGCTCACTACTTCAAAATTTTGGTAGTTATTAGGTCTGCTGTTACAATTTGTTATTCAATATATTAATAAACAAGCAATGTATTATTATACTGTATCTGTACGATTTTGATAACTATGTTTCACTATAATTGGGTTTCCTTAGTAATTAATATGTAATATATACTTGGGCTTCCTATGTGTTTTGGTTTATGTATTTAAAAGCATTGTTCTGCAGAGGGGCTCACGGGGTCATCAGAATGACAGAGGAGTACATGGTACAACAAAAAGGAAAGAACACCTGCTTCAAGGCAAAGACTAGTTCTTATTTACTTTCCTCATTCATAGTATATTACAGATATACAAGAATTGACTTGATGTATGTCCTCAAATTTGAATCTCTTATGTTAAAAATACTTCCTTCTATGGATCCTTTTCTCTATTTTTCAACATCGGAGTCCAAAATCTTTATCCTGGGCTAATATATTTTAATTCTAAATTTTTAAAAAAAGATCATTCACTTTATGATTTTAGGTGAAGGACTGCTAACCAAATACATTTCCTTAACCTATCTGGAGCCATGAACGTCTCTGATTGCTTGATAAATGTCCAAGTGGCTGAAAGAAATGGAAATACTTATTTCAACAAATCTGTAGGTCACCTGGTTACACACAACAACAAATTGGATTTTAAAGAGAAGTTAGAATTTTAAATCCAGAATACAATACTGTCCATATGTATCACTGGGAATAAAAAGGGATGTGTGTGTGTGTGTGTGTGTGTTTAACAGAAGTTCCACAAATTACACAAAACAATGAAAGATTTCAAAAGGCAAAATGGTAATGAGTCTTTTCTAACTTGTGACAGAAGGGCATTATATTAATCCATAAATCAAGTGTTAACTAAGATAAAAATGACATTAAGAGCAGGTCTGGAATAAAAACATTCCTGGATTTGAGTCTAACTCTTTCATTTACTAGCTGTGAGAGCCTGAGCATTTAGCTTGTGTATCAGTTTTCTCATTTAAAGAAAGGATGTTTGTATCTCAGAGAGTTATTCAGAGGAGTAAATTAAACAATGCACACACAGACTTAGTACAATCACTCGCCTATCACACTCAACAATTTTGATAATTTTTATACCCATAATCTAGACAACACAGAAAGAGGTAAGACATGACAGAGATGACAAAAGCGGGTCTTGCAAAATACTATTTGTATGTCACACTTTAAACATGTGTACTCAATTAGACTTAAAACGATCTCTCTTTGCAATCTAAACATCCATACTAGAGTACATACCGGATCAACTTGCCATATGATAACTGTTGTATCTTTTGATCCTGTTGCTAGTTTAGTGCCATCGTTAGAGAATTTACAGAACCACACTTCATTACAATGCTCCGTAAGGATCTGCTGAGTATAACATGGGAACTGCCTCCTAAAACAAAGAAGTCCACAAATAATTATTCTTTCAAAATCGATTAATCATAATGACAAAGGTTAAACAACTGATAAAACTTCTTTGGAGATCAAAAACTTTAAAAATAAGATATGAATGCATTTGTACATCTTAATCAAGTTTTCAGTGATTTGTCAAAAAAGGGGGTATTATACATTAGTCAAGGCAATCTTAGGGGAAATCAGTAACCCAAAATCTGGTTCAATTTACAATTTATTCTTTTTAAGGGACATCTAAAATCAGAGTAGCAAAATATTTTTAGAAAGGACTGATGCACAATCAAAATTATAGGGCACAGAGCTAAACCCCAAGGACAGATAAAGTCAGGGGAACACATATAATAACAAAAACCCGATTAAAGCTGGACAGACCTAAGATAAAAGTAATACAATAAAGCAGACCAAAGAGTAACCCCAAACTCCCCTATGCGCTCATTCTGATGCATCAGCAAATTAAAAACGCACCTGGAAAGCTGTTGAATATTCTGCTGAAATGCTCCCAAGATTCTCACCCACAGGAAAAAGATAAAACCCCTCAAAACAAAGACCTGCTGCGGGTTTGCTCTACAGCAGCAGTCACCAACTGGTGGTCCGCGAGGTGCTCCACAGCACACCCATGCCCCTTCCTGGGCATGAACTTTTTACTTCCTCCTAAAATCTAAGGGTTCCCAGAGCCTTGCAGTCAGGGGAGCAGTGGGCAGTGGCAGCTCATCCCGGGCAAATCCCTGGGTCCTGCCTCCAAGGCCCCCTTTTCTCTGACTTCCCAGTGAGCTAACAACAGCCCGGCCTTGGCTCCCTTCTTTCCTACGTTTCTCGGGAGCCAAAGCAGAGCACCGCCTCGGCTCTCCTGTTGTTTCTTCTACCCTAAGTCCTTCCTTTGTTTCACTGTCCCCAGCTCTAACAAACACCCTCTCAAAATAAATAAATAAGAATTACAGGGCACACATCATCTAGTCTATTGACAATCAGTTACATTTGAATGTCACTAAAATGGTAAACTGTCACTATTTTATTGTTACTTAATCTTTTAAAAGACTAATAGCCCCCTGTTTATTAAAAGACTAATTTTGGATGTATACAAGTGATAGTTTACCTATATATTCAAATAAATTTAAGATTTAAGATGGTGTTAAAAATATCAGTACCTTCCCAAATAAAACTGAATAAAATGTAGCATTTCAATCAAACTGAATCTTAGCATTTTAAGTTTCTATAAAATATTACATAATACTTTACTTAAAAATTAGTATTTGTAAAGCAATCTGTGGAGACATCCTTCCATTGATTGCTGCTGAAAAAAACCCACCAAGTCATTAAAAAACAACAACACAACCCTATTCTTTACCGGTCAAATTTAACAAAAAATACGTATATTTAACTGTGAAAAATGTAAATAATGTACAATCTAATGAAAACTTTTAAGGGCTGATTAGGATATTTTAAAAAGTTATAATTTAGCCCCAGCCAGTTTGGCTCAGTGGACAGAGTGTCAGTCTGCGGACCAAAGGGTCCCAGGTTCGATTCCGGTTAAGGGCATGTACCTGGGTTGCGGGCACATCCCCAGTGGGGGGTGTGCAGGAGGCAGCTGATCGATGTTTCTCTCTCATCGATGTTTCTAACTCTCTATCTCTCTCCCTTTCTCTCTGTAAAAAATCAATAAAATATATTTAAAAAAATAAATAAATAAATAAATAAAATAAAAAGTTATAATTTAGCCCCAGCCAGTTTGGCTCAGTGGATAGAGTGTCAGTCTGCGGACCAAAGGGTCCCGGGTTTGATTCTGGTCAAGGTACATACCTTGGTTGCAGACTCCTCCCCAACCCCGGCCCTAGCCGGGACTCACGCAGGAGGCAACCAATCGATTTTTCTCTCTCACATTGATGTTTCTCTCTGTCTTTCCCTCTCTCTTCCACTCTCTCCAAAAGATCAATAGAAAAATATCCTTGGGTGAGGATTAAAAAATAAAAAAAATAAAAGTTATAATTTACTTTATCATAATCAATTTTCTATTCTCCAGAGAGAAGAGCTGGTATTTCATTTCAATGCTAAGATTTAGCTTGTGAAAATATAGTTTCTGGTTTCAATGCTAAAATATAGTTTCTAAAAAGGAGTAAAGCAGATAATAAGAAACATCAACTTTTCTTTTGAAGACCAAATATCTTCTATCATTTACTTTCAAAGGTATTGGTATAGAAGTTAAAACACTTAGGAAAAATGTAGGTCACACTCTCATAGATTTCAGTTTCCAAACAGGAAGGCAATCTCTTAACCTGCTGACACCTTTGAATCATAAAGTCTGCCATAAATACCTTTCAGTGTATTCCACCAACAATGAACTCAAGAACCAAAAAAAGATTTGGGTTCACAACTGCCTTAATTTTCACATTGGTCTCAAATTCCCTAAAGGAGCTATGAAATAAGAAACCATATAGCCTTTTAATCTATTATCTCCTCCAACCTCTATTCAATTTAAATGAAAGACTTACCAAGTCAAAGAATAATCTTAAAGAGTAAAAACGGATAAAGGAAAAGGATCTTTAATTATTTTCTTTGAGAACATTTAAGACACGCACTAAGTAATTACCTAGTACTTTAAGATAAATAACACTTGAAATTTAAAAACAGTAGCACAAATAAATTATTATTTTTTATTGCAACTAGGGAGAATGAGGTGAGAACTCACCTACATGTGAAAGTAGCTTATGCATACCTAAAAAATTATCGTAAATCACAGTGCATATGTGTAAGTTTGAGAGCTATTCCGAAGTTCCTCAGTTTTCCAAAGCCCTCACACTTATGTATGTCTGTCCTTCCTAGTCATGCTCCTTCCAGGAGTTCTTCGATGTTGTCGGCAGAAGAAACTGACCACACGTACTGCCGCTGTTCCTATTTGGTCCCCCAGACCCAAATCATTTCCTTCCTGGAGTTTGAAAGATTTCACAATTTGGTGTGTGTTTTTTTTTCAGTATCTTAAAAATTAAAAGCTATGTTTTCATTTTGGAGTTTACTAAAATAGTAGGGACAGTTATATTCAAAATACTCCTAACATCAAAAGTGAAGCCTGAATTTTTACAAGTTAAACAATGTATATAGGTAGCTATAAAAACAAAACCCACACCAGGGAGTTAATATTGTTAGTCTAACCATTTTTAGCAGAACTTTCATTAGGAAAAAGTATTTTGGGGCAGGAAATAATTTGGGCCAAAGTTAAAATAGCCATAATGTCCAGAAAAAGAGCCACTAAGAGATCTCTGGCATCCAAGGACACCAAGCACTTGGACCCTGGCATCCTTACACAATATTCCTTACAAGTCCTTACAAAAACGGCCAGATAAAGAAAATGACCAGCCACGGTTTTCCAGCTTCAGGTCTCAAGGGTGGCTTACTGTGCATAAACATATACAGATTTTTCGTACTTTTCAACTTCAGTAGTTCTAGCTTTACTTATGAACAGATGCTAAAACAGACATGAATTGTTTTATAGCTATAGGATAAAACTAAAAAAAGGAAACATCTTACTAAAGTTCAAATTGAGCTTGTAAATGTTAGCCTACTTCAGAATTTAAGTTTTCCTCTTACCTGCTACAAACATGATCTATAAGCAGAGACACAGAATCTAGATTATTATCAAGTTTGGTATTGTGATATAGGCACCGATCCCTCTGTAGTTCCACCGCCTGCCGCAGGAGAGTCTGTAAACGCCGTGGGGGAAGCATCACTGATGGTGGTAAATATGCTTTAAATAGAAGATATTTTTAAAAAGAGAAAATTAAAAAACAAAACAGGATAAACTTTTACATAAGACAGTTACTTATCTTCTGCTGCACTTGTCCCCACCCTAATAATATTGTTCTTAAATAGAGCAGTTCTGGGTTATGAAACATGAGCTGTATGAATATTTGTCTCTAGATGTGTTGCCACTAGAATGGAAGATACTTGAACAGAAGGGCTTTAATATGTGGATCTTCTAAACAACAAACAAAAAAATCAATAAAAAAGAAAAAGGCGGCCTGGCAGGTGTGGCTCAGTGGTTGATAGTCGACTTATTAACCAGGAGGTCATGGTTCAATTCCTGGTCGGGGCACATGCCCTGATTATAGGCTCAATCCCCAATAGGGGGTGTGCAGGAGGCAGCTGATCAATGATTCTCATCATCAATGTTTCTATTGCTTTTTCCCTCTCCATTCCTCTCTGAAATCAATATAAATACTAAAAAAAATAAGTTTAAAAAAAAAGAAAAAGGCGGTAACAATGAAAACAAAATTAAAGATGGTGTGTGAGAGGGAGACTATGCATCACTAGAAGTGTAAGAAAAATCTCCAGTTAACAAAGAACAAGTCAAAATCCTAGAACAAGCCAAATTCTAGTTGCTTCTAATGCCAATGAAAATTCAAGGAATAACTGGTGTCTTGATACTGATACCAATCCATTCTGATCCTTTAATGTCTTACACCTCCCAGTCACATTGTTTTCTGATTCTCAGAATCTCTGTTCTCAGATCAACATGAAATATAAAGAATAACATGACATAAGCACAGAGGGAAAGGTCTTTTATATAAAGATGTGGCAAAATGAAACTCCTACCCTAAATTGGAAGCCACAGAACATAGTTGAGGGGAGGGTAAGACAATTTACAGAAGAAATCTGGGCCTTATTATTGAAAAGACAATATTTACAACACTCATGGTTTACATATATTTTTTGCCTAACCACAGCACTTTTCCCACAGACAAAATCTTACCGGGAGCATCGTTACATAAAACAAATAAAAGGGGAACTGCCTGGGACCAGCACCCTCACTGCCTGTGAAGGGTAGCTTCTTAGACTCCATGGTTTACAGGGTCTCTTGAGGGACTTCCCCACCACCTTTCCCTAAATAACCACTCAGTAAGAGTGTCTAGACACAAGCCCTTCTAATTGGCTCACAATAGCGATTTCTCATCTAAGAACAAATAGAGGCACCAAAAAATTAAGACTCTTACTTTGAAGTTTGTCCAACAGTTTCGAGCGGGAAGCTGTTCCTTTGCCTTCCCATTCTGCTTTTGCACGTAGGTCTTCTGCATGGCTACACATCAGATACCTAAAAACACGACAGGGAAAGAACCAAATAGCAAGTCCTTTTCTCTGGATTAAAAAGAATTGAAAAATACTGATTCTACTCAAGATAGCTAGTTCTTACTAAGAAACACTTATCAAGAATAAACTTCTGGAGTGGACCCAATTCATTAATACAACCTGGCATCTGGATATAATTTAAAAAATGTAACATAACAGAAGTAGCTAAATACATGTAATTGTTATATTATCTATGAACATATTCTTACATATATTGTAATCGTTATCTATAAATAGCTCTTATTGTGTGCCAGCCTCTGTTCTAAGCACTCAACATCTATTATTATTTCATTTAATGCTCATAACCATCCTGTATGAAGTATGCCCTCTTATTCTAGTTTTATAAATGAGGAATTGAAGACAGAGAGTTTAAGTCATTGATTTAGGGTAAAGTTAAGAGGGAAAGTAGGAATATGAATCCAGACACTCTAGCTATAGAACTTGCTCCTAACCACCATGCTAACTTAGCAGCTTTCACTAGTAATACAAAACAAAACCTTAAAAGTTATATTAAGTTAATTAAACAAAACAACATACCTTTAAGAGATTATCATAAACGTCACTCAAGAAATGGTATAATTGGACAACCATCCTTGTGTCATCCTGTGAAAGGTACTGCGATCCCAAAGCAGGAAATTTGGGAACTGCTTTCTTACTATCTGTGCCGAAGGAGGCATAAACGCTAAAGTTCATGGACTCTGGAGAATACATGAGGGCCCCCTGCTGGAAGTGTGACCCTGACCTGGTTCTGGCTCTTCTCAGAAGAACGGGCTTTAAAAGTAAAAGAAGTGAAGGCATTATTCAAACATGGAGATTAGACCTGGCAAGTAACTCTCCTGCTATTTTTTGTCTGTTCTCAGACAAATCTGTTCTTCTCACTTGTAAAGAGGGTATGAAACAAGGCAGTAAGGATCAAGTGAGATGGAGTATGAGCATATGAGGTACTCGGTCCACTTCCTGGTATACATGTAGAGCTTAATAAATGATAACATGGGTTCCTCTCAGTTAACCCGAGTATCACCTCCTCCTTTTCTTAACTGCATAAAGCATATTGCACTTAGCATTTAAATCAATTAATAGCCTTTCACCCAACAACAGAACTACTTGTTCTCTTGCTATTTAGTATATAGAGCCTTAGCTGATGAGAACTTAATTTTAAAAAAATAGTATGAGTAGTTAGATTTAAGCTGAATACTGCAAAAATTTGGTTTCTAAAATAACCTTTGGGAGTAAAATTTATTATCAATAATTCCGAGAAAATAATTTATTTTTTAAATTCTGCAAAAATAACTACAATGGTTTCTGCGCCCTTTTGAAAATATGACACCTAAAGGTTTCAAAGGAAGTCACATGTTTAACTGAAAACACTGGACTGAGCTCTGATGTCAGTTCCACATCTTGTCACTTCTAGGCCATTTACTTATGTGCAATAGTCTAGGGACAAACTTGATGAAGCTCCCTGCAGAATAAGACCGCCGCGATTCAAGTGTATGCACTACTGCCAGAGCAGAAAAGAAAGCCCACCATGTGAAGGCCACTTAGGTGACACAGAAATCAGACACCTCTGAAAGAGGTGATCCGCATAAAGGAATGTGTCAGCTACAATACTGAAATATCCAGCAGAACTGACCATTTCAAGATGTAGTGGTGGGTCAAGACCAATGATTTTGGAATCAGTCAAACCAGGCTGTGAATCTTGGCTGACTTAACTCGCTGTATCTCGGGCTGCTTACTTCACCCGAGGCTTCGTTTCCGTACCTGCAAAAACCCTAACATGAACCCTGTACATCTTAGGGCCTATCTTCTTGTATATATTTGAAAACTCATTATGTGTCAGATATTGCTCTAGATCAGGGGTGGGGAACCCTTTTTCTGCCCAGGGCCATTTGGATATTTATAACATCGTTTGCTTAATATAAATTTATGTTGCTATGAAAAAAGCTCCTAGATTCATTGAATTTCGAGTCCCACCTGCGGTTGCATGGCCAGACCAAATGATTTCACCGGTCTTATATGGCTTGAGGGCCAGACATTCCCCACCCTGTTCTAGATGCCAGGGGCCCTAACATATAATGAAAAATGCTATAAAGAAAAACAAATGAAAAACAGTGATGTGACAGAGAATGCCTGGTGGGTGGTCTCAGGAGCGGATATTTGGGTTGGGACCTGAGCCAACTATGCAGAGACTAGGGGAAGAGCATTTAAGATAAAGGGAATAGGCAGTAAATGCCTTCACGTTAGTGTCACTACAATAATGAACCAGGGAAAAGAGGGCGGGAAAGGATCCGGGCCCTTGTGGGCCTGGGCAGTTCTTGCGTTTTAAGCACGCTAGAAAGCCAGTGGACAGTTTTAAGAAAGGAGAGAAATGGTTAATGCATGGTTTTGCTTATGTGTTTCTATGGCTGCTGTGCGAAATATGCATTAAGGAAGGGAGAGGCGCTTATGGCTTAACTAGGGTAGAAATTGTGGAGGTGAAGAGAAATGGACAAATCTGGGATGTTTTAGAGTTAGGCCCTTTCCTGTCTTCTTTCCCTCCAGCCTCCCGGGGCGTTACCTTTGCCTTTCTCTCTCCTAAGTTCCAGTGCCCTTCTTCTGCTTCTATAACTTGTTTCCTGAGCTTATGCAGCCCAGCTGGTTCACTTCTACTACCTCTAGAATTTTCTAAATGAATTTTCTCTTATAAAATTTTTTTTAAAAAACAAAGCAAGGATGAGGCTTAAGTTTTTTGTCTGAGCAAGTGGGTAAAAGGTCTTACCATTTACTGAGATGAGGAACAGGTCAGTGAGAGTGAAGTGGGTAGATGGGCAACTGGAATCAAGAATTTTGTTTTGAACATTTAACTGAGGCACCTATTAGCCAAACGGAGACTGTCAGGTAGGCTATTAGATATGTACGCTGGGAGTTCAGATGAAAGGTGAATTTAAGAGCCACCGGCAGATCGATGGTATGTGAAGGCATGGTACAAAATGAGGTACCTTGGGAGAGTGTTTAGACAGAACAGAAAGGAGGTCCAGAACCAAGCCTTTGGGCACGCTAACTTTTAAAGGATTGACATGAAAATAATATGAGATTGTACATATGAAGTGCTTAGCAAGGACCTGGTAAATGATAAGTGTACATTAAGAGAATATACACATCAATTCTGGAAACTTCATTGCTTATTAGTTTTGTAGAAGATTCTGAAATGGCCTTTCACGGGCAATACATATTTCTTCTTCCTTTTACACACTTAAATATTTCTCTATTTTAATATGGAAAGCTTCCTACCAGGACAAAAAAGAGTATATCTATAAGTGATTCTATCCCAGGTTAGTGTTACCTAAGAATTTAGCAATATTCAGATCTTGGAAAAATGTTAAAGAGATGTAACTTTGAAAGCTGACCTTGATAAAAGTAACAGCCCCTCCATCAACCTGGAGTCTAAGAACTAGGCCTCCTTACCCACTAAGAACATGAATGCGCTCTGTATTGTATTTCAGTGGCGTCAATTCACAGCGTAGAACTTGAAGTGCCTCCAGGACCTTGCCATCCTCCAGGTATTCCAGGTACTTCTGCTGCAGCAGCAAGAACTTCATCCTCTGACATGACAGAAAGCAGCAGTCAGGGGAAAAAAGTTGATGGAAGGTTCAGAAAATGTTTGTGCCTAAACAGAACAGTAGAAACCATTCTACTACGCCCTTTGACAATAACTTTTTAAAAAGCTTTAATATGACTCAAAATATTTGGGTTTAATGGAGTCACAGTATATTAAATGTGACTTTGCTCAATTTCATGTCTTAACACAAGTTTTGAATAATCTCAAATTAGATACGATCATTAATGACATCGAAACAGGAAAGAATGAATTCTGCCCTCAAAACATTCACCTAGAATTTTATTTCTTCTATAAAAATTTAGAACTATTTACAGTATTCTAAATTTTCTTTTTTAAAAAAGTCTGGGACTTTTATAATGGGCAGTGGGAACATTTTAGGGAACAGGTTTTGGAAAAAAAACACAGAAAATTCCATCAGTGAAGAGATTATTTAAAATCCACAAGGTGAAAGGACTAAGTAGACCAGAAAGCAGACCTGGAGACATGAGGTAGAAGTTGCAAAGTGTCAGATTTTGGCTTATCAAAAGTAAGAAGAGGTGCCCAGCAAATGGACTAAAGGTTGGTGCGCAAAGTACCGAGTTTCCTAGGACTCAAGTAGACAAGCATAAGCCTGATGGGACTCACTCTAAAGGCAATAAAGGTTCAACTCAAAGGTTTTTAATAAGATTCAATATTTGTATTTCTGGGTTGGTAACACTCTGATCACTGATACACATAACGATGAAGCACAGACAATTATCAGCTCTTTCCCCTTAAAGGATAAACCATTTCCAACTTATGAAATACTTCCACGTTTAGTTTTGTTTTTTTCCCCCTGAAATGTGCTGGGCTTTAGTATTTTCTAATGTTCCTTTACTATATTATTTTAACTGGAAAGTAACTTGAAAATCTTAGCAGCTTTTTGCTAGAGCAAAGAGAGATTTATGAATATCAAGTTTGGAATGAATATCAAGTTTGGAATTTCTTTTAAACCTTAAACCTAATTAAGGACACTGCCTAGAGGGACTTCCATTGTATCTGCTACCTGATGTACATAGAGAACCTTGTTAGTAGATAGGAAGTGTTAGTTATACTTAGAGAATCCAAGAAATAGAATCCAAGAAATAGTGGTAAAAATCTCAAATCCACTTACTTTAAAAAGCATTTACTGCTTACTTCTCTCAAAAGATGGTTTGAGCCGAAGCAGGTTTGGCTCAGTGGATAGAGCGTCGGCCTGCGGACTGAAGGGTCCCGGGTTCGATTCTGGTCAAGGGCATGTACCTGGGTTGTGAGCACATCCCCAGTGGGAGATGTGCAGGAGGCAGCTGATCGATGTTTCTCTCTCATCGATATTTCTAACTCTCTATCTCTCTCCCTTCCTCTCTGTAAAAAATCAATAAAATATATTTAAAAAAAAAAAGATGGTTTGAAGAACTTATCATTTATATATGGAATTAAGAGCATCATATAACTGCTCTACAAGATTTCCTATTAGGGAGTATTTAGAAGAAAGGCATAACCTACAAGCTTATAAAAATGACTTCTAGAGAAAATAAATAAAAACAAACCCTCTCATATAGATTAGGCACACATTTAAATACATCTTTTATAACATACATTGCTTATGCTTGGTAATAATCTAATCTTAAAACTATAGCTAAAGAACAATAGGAAAAATTTCCAACTATGAGATAAGCTCCTATAACTCTAGAAAAATTACACTTACCAAATTTTACACAGTTACACTGACTAAATGAGCATTTCAAAAACAGATTAGTTTCCAAGATGCTCTAAAAATTGTTGCTGTACATGCAACCGTAAGTTTACTTTTATATATCAAATTAAAAAATACTTTGAAGTCCATCAGGTGACAAAAACACAAAAACAGAACAGCCCTAACCGGTTTAGCTCAATGGATAGAGCATTGGCCTTTGGACTCAAGGGTCCCAGGTTCGATTCCGGTCAAGGGCATGTACCTTGGTTGTGAGCACATCCCCAGTAGGGAGTGTGCAGGAGGCAGCTGATCGATGTTTCTCTCTCATCGATGTTTCTAACTCTCTATCCCTCTCCCTTCCTCTCTGTAAAAAATCAATAAAATATATATATATAAAAAATAAATAAATAAAAACAGAACAATCTAAAAATCAAAACATATTTGAAGTTCATTCTGGATATTCTCACCATTTTTTCCTTTTAAAAACACTTCAACTCTTTATGAAGAGTTCGTCTATTTCCATTTATCGGTATACTGGTAAAAGTTTCATATCACATAGTGTTTTTGATTCAAATTTGAGAATCCTATTTTGTTAGAGAATTTTTAAATTTAAATGCCACATGGAGCTGGCCAGAATTTGCATTTCATTTCTTCACTAAATTTTCTTAACAATTGGGAATTTGGGGGGAAATTTTTTTAATTCAGGGCAAATTCTTAACTTATTTATTTATTGGGTATCAATCATTACGTCCTACGCACACCCCTCTGCCATTCCAATGTGTGTAGGGACAGTGTCCCAAGTGCTGTTTCCCCCTTATTTCCCCACCAAGATCCTGCTAGAACATGTTATTCTCTTTCCATGGGGCAGAGGAGGAGGAGAGGGGAGGAAGGCAAGAGAAGCCAACATAAACACGTTTTCCGTACACAGAGAATGCTATAAAACAGTGCAAGAACATTTCTCTCTGAGTCATTTTATCCAGATTAAGACAAAGAATATCCTGAAACTGGCATCAAATCTTGGTGGTGCACATGGCAGAGAACATGCTGCTGACTCAGCACAGAAAGAGATGTGGTTGAGAGAGAAGATACTTATTCTACCTAAAACCAAGCATTTGATGCACATAAGAATGGCGAGTAAAACTGTAGTTTACTTCCGAAAATTTAAGGCACAAAAATGTAAATATAGTTTCAAGAAAATACATATCTTTCAAAAATGATGTTAAATTATTTACTAAAAATGTTTTAAAAAGAAGGCAAAACTCAAGTCTGCTGAAATGTGGGGTCAGGGCTTTACTCATGGTTTTTTAAAAGACCACGTGCTTCTTAACTGAAGAAGGAAAGAAAAGAAGAGAAAGTGAACTCTCTTTTCTGTTTCCCCAACTCCTAATTTTTTAGATTATTTCTGGTGTCTGATAACTTTGCGGCATCTTTGGGTCCAGCAGTGTTTCTTTCTCTTGCTGTCTAACATAAACTTGACACTGGTAAGTGAATAGGACAGCTTGAAAGATGGTTTCACATGGTAAATCTGGCTGTTGCCTACCCAATATTTGTATTGGTTTATCCTTTCCTCCCATATAATTACACTGAACTCAATGTCGGGGGGGAAAAAAAAGAACTCAAAAGTTACGATACACAGGAAGTGTGTTTATCAAGAACAGCCTCTTAGCCAACTTAGTAGTGGCTCTGACTAACTCTGGAACAAGGTTTTAACCAAGTTTTATCAATTAAATGACTCAGAGGAAAGGGGGAATGAATTATATTTAAACCATGGCTCTCAAAACTCCTCCCTATTTGACTTCAAAATATACTACTTCATCTTTGCGCATTAATATTTGAACAGTTTTGTTAAGCATTTCAATTATATTGAAAAATAAAGAATCAAACACATTTAGACATATAGGAGTTTTTTATGTTACTGACCTCAAATACCCACCCCAATTCCTCAGACATGGCTAAGCATATTTGAACCCAAACTAAAAAAAATGTTGATTCATGAGCTCAGCTTCCAGAAAATCCAGAGCAAATGCTGCTATTTCTGGTATTATTTGACTGGAAACCATTTAAAAATATGGGGAGTAGGGAAAGGGAGGTGCGTAGGGGAAAGTGGAGAGTGGATCAGGTCAATAAAAACATTCAGGTTTAAAAAGTAAAATACAATTTTAGTCTAGACTAAGTCATCAAGTGTGTCTGGCTACAGTTAAAATAATTATGTTAAAAAAAAAATACCCACCAAATAGTTGTCTTCTAAGACATTACTACAAACTTATGCTTACATTAGATTATCTTCTGGAGAAGGGGGGGAGAGGAGTAAACATACTTAGAAAGGTGAAAAAAAAATGCTGAACTGCATTTTTAAAAGCAATTGATTCATCAATGCTTAAAGTAAGAGAAAAACTGGAACCCCTTTCTTTGTATAAATACCTAAACAGTTTGATGGCGTGAGGCTCAGCCAGAGATTTAATCTTCATCTTTTATTAGATCCTAGAATGTTCTATAGACTGAACAGGCTGTAAAAAGAAAGGATTCCTCCTTATTATCTAAAACTACCTTTATTCAGTTAACATGTTGCTTCTAATGAAGGTTTCTAATGAGATACAATAATCATCTAAATCCAATACAGAAGTCTCAAATTACTATAAAAACTTAAGAAAAAGAGGAAGTGAGCCTATTCAAATTTTTACTACTAAATTACAGATACAATTTGGGTGAAGCTTAAAAAAGGAAAGCAATCCTCCAAGAAATCACATCCTTATTTTAAAATAGTCCATGGGCAAGTTCGTTACTGTCACCATATAAGCAATGCTAGCTTGTCTGATGGGAAAAGAACCCCGATTCTTATTTTGGCTTTAAATGCCTTGATTTTATTTTAGGGTCACCTTCCATCCCACCAGAGCTAACAATTTATGAAAAGCTGGCCAGTTAAAATATGCTTGTTTTTCTTTTTAAAACTCCAAACACACTAATTGGGGAAAATTTAGTCACTGGAAAATTTGTAATCCTTTTGAATATAGATGTTTGTTTATTTTAACTTCTGTGTTTTCATTTTAAAAATTGACCATGGAATTGATTATTCAATGAGTTAATTAATAATCAACCATCTGATTCAATAATAACAAGTTAAAATTTTTAGTGTTTTAAATACTTAGTAAGAGAAAAAAAGATAATCAATTTAAATGAACCAGTATTTGTTCATATTTGTTTGCACCTTTAACTCACCTAAAGGCCATTCTCTAGGATTATATAATTGTATAAAATCACATTAAGAATTTGAAAACTTTTGTAATTAAGATTTGTTTTTAAAACCCAAAAAAACAACAACAGGAGACTCTGTTAGGTTTACAGACAAAGGCAGAAAGATCAATGTTTGACCCAATTAAAAAAAAAAAATCAGCAGTAACACTCATTTACTAATATTTAACAAACAGCTGGTTTCCTTACTTCACTTCCTATTCACCCTTGTCCCTCCCCCACCAGACAGGAAATTGCTTCTGACAACAAATCAATCAGCTAGAAGTAAAAAAGCCAGCAGGAAGAGGCCAGGCAGCTGATTCTTCATGGTTTCCAATCACAAGCACTTAGAAAAAATTGTATCCCCTCCTCTCTCTCAGCAATATCTACTGAAGAGGTGAAGCCTATCAGTATAAAAGATTCACTGAAATTTATGAAAGAGGCTACCAAGTCAACTACTCAATTGATCTTGTTGGGGAAATAAGGCCAGTAAGCAGAACCCAATGGTCAAATACACATAGAAACCCTCACCAGAGTCATACTTATTATACAAACTTTGACACTGTCAATTCACACAACTGGAATGCAAGAATGGGAAATGGTGAGCACACCAATAGAGCTGGGTTGAATGAACTATAATTATAATTGCCAAAGATGAAAAAAAATTAGTGTCAGCTACTTAAGGCCTATAGACATACATACACCCAAATACATTCTTTACCAGCACATTCAGTATTTTTAACAATATAAAAGTATAATTTATCCTTGATTCTAGAAGTATAGAACTCCTACGAAACAGTACTAAAAGCATGATCTTCAATATAATTTTGTATTGAGCGTAATTTGTAAATTAGGTTCAAAAGACACACTTATTATACATGATTTTAAAAATAGAGCTCAAACTTTAACAAATCATAAACACTCATCTTAGTTTACAAATTTAATGACATGAAATTTAATTCTTTTTAGGCCTTATCTTTTATAAGAGGCAGAAGCCTAGAGTTATCAATAACCTATTAAAATAAGCATAAATGTGAAACTAAGAACAAAAGTGTATTTACCACAATTATTCCCAACAACGTTTGAGAGATTTCAAGTGCGCCTCTTACCACAATAGCATGAGGAGAATGCACTAAAGGCTTTAGTTCATTCAGGTCATTTTCTGCCTGCAAAAATTGGTATAAGAGAAAAACAGAAATGTCACAACCTGCACGTCAGATACGTAATGTTAGCAGCAGTCACACAGCTCTATAGGCCCTACTTTACCTTATCCCAGTCTCCTTCCATGACATGATTTCGGAATTTGGTGGCAGAAGGATGTTCTAAACGACATCCTGACTCTTGCATGAGGAGATCAACAGTCTGGCTGCAGGAGAGATACAGTGTAAAAACGACCTGACCACGTTCAGGGTTTACTCTTCCAAACAAGCGAATGTCTATGAAAACAGTTGCCAACGTTTTTAAACTCATCTCAGGAAGAAAAAAGAAATAAAGAGCTTTCATGTGCTTGGCTAAACCAACTTGATTTTTAAACTGCCACCTTCGTTTCTATCTAGTTAAGTTAAAAGCCTTCCTGAAACCAGAATCAAAGTAAGTTCTTTCTATTCTGCCATTTAATGCCTCACAAGTTGAAATGAAGTATAAAATTCCTAAAAACATGTTGTAACCAATTGGTTAAATAAATGGAAAAGAACAAACATACACACACAAAACAGGATCTCCCTAACCCTGTGACATTTCGTAAGATAAAAAATGTTAGCTCCATACAAGGTGATAGCGATGACTTGCCATTGGGGGGGAGTCTTACATCCAGACATCATGTTTGCATAGAAATTCTAGTAGGTCAGTCTTTAAAATGGAAATAAATCCAGCCTCAAAAATCATCCCCTTTCTCTCTATCCTAAAAATAGCCAATTTACTATGGTGTGGGTTCCAAACAGTCACGAGGTATTTCCTCCTGCTGCTGTCAGCTTGCTTCTGGTCTCAGTAAGACGCTGTTGGCGCTTACAAAACCTATTTTCATACTAATTCCTTTTCCTTCGGGCAAAGAGGTGAAATCTTCCTATATCTCTCTTTGAAAGCATAAAAGACTCATCAAAAGTGGCCCAGATATTTTGACACCTACGAATCTTCCTTTATCAGTTCCTACATGTTTGTTTATGTTTCAATGTTTTCTTACTCAGCCCCAGTTATTTTTCAGCTAAACAGTGCCATCAGCCATCTGCCCGAGAATCAAAATACTTATGTCACCTTAGAAAAGTGCTCTTTCCCCCTCCCCAGAGCGAATGTGGACCCAACAGGACCACACGGGCCGGCCCCAGAGCGTGTTTCCATCGCCGCTGGGAGCTGGCAAAGGCTGTGGCGTTCCCCCTGCCTCTGCCTGGGGCTCCTCGGCACCCCCCAACCCGACCTCCCCCCTTGGTTTTTCTTTGTACAGACACGGTGGTTTGGGGCCAAGGTCGCCGCCCCCCTTCACCCTATTTAGGTCCAGAAGGCCGCCTCAACTGTACTGGACAATAAACGATTCACCAGATCGGATGCCCCTTTTCAGAGGCAGCCGTCTCTCGGCAGTAAATCGGGGTTCCGGTCGAGCTGGGGGCAGGCCCCCCAGGACACACACACACCCGGCGGGGCCCCTGCATGACACCCGCGCGGCCTCTCCCTGCAGGACTCCCCTCCGATGCACCCAGCCTCCTCCCCCAGGATCCCAGCCCCTCGTTCCCATAAACACTTGTAGGCGACGGCCTCTCCTGATTGGTGGCTGCCCGGGCTGTCTGTCACGGCCGGGGGGTGGGGTGGGGGTGGGGGCGTGGGGGGGCGGGGGGAGGCGTCCCACAAAGATGCCTCTGAGATGGACGCAAAACAAACCCTCCGAGGTTCATTCTTTCCACCGGCCCCCCCTCCCCTCCCCCGCCGCACACGGACACACACCCCGCACGTCCTTACTGACCACCGGGCCCGGAAGGTGTGCGGGGAGGGGAGACCCTTTGGTCTCTACGCCCCCTTCCCCGATCCCCAATCCCCCCATCGGATGGACGGTTCCCCCCATGTCCCCTCCGGGCAGCACCCCGCCTCGGGCCGGGCCAGTCCGAGCCGCGTCCTCCAGGCTCCCGGGCCCCCGAACCCCCGCTCCCCGCCGCCGGTCTGTCCCCCCGTCTGTCCGCACCGGAGACTTACTTGAGCCCCAGGCCGTTCAGGTGCTGCCCGATGAGCCGAATGACGTCCTCATCCGACTGGGACAGCCGCTTCTTCTTCTTGAGGCTGCTGCCCAGGTCCGGGGTGGCCAGAGCCGCGTA